CACCTCACACAATATAAATTTACCTAAAATCTAACCTAACTTTTAGCACTGCGTTGTGATTTATAAGAACCGGATTAGCCTCGTGTTGAACTGGGGATGATCATAAGTAATAATTAAATAAAACGTACAATTGATTATCCAATGTATATATCTTAAATTTTATTATTAAGTTTTTTAAGCGGAAAAGTAAACAAAATTATCAAACAAAGTGTACCAAGAATAATTAAGAATAAATGTCCTCTGAGATTTATTGAATAATTAAGTGAATTTGCTACACAGTACAAGTAATACCATAATTAATTTACCTCTTAGCACAGCCAACATTACGCGGATAGACTAAAACATACATAAACATTTCTCAAAACATACCTGGAAAAGTCAGGGAATTTTATTCTCCTGTTTGAGTGGCAACCCTGGTATGTACAAAAGTGCCAAATCTAGCAAGCACACCCATTTAACAGCACACCAAATGTAGCGTACGCGCTGGTTTCAGATTGCGTAAGTTTATATAGTTCTATATTTCTTAAGACGCCATTGAAATACTAGTTTAATTTTTAAATCCTTTTTTGATATCATATTGATTTAACAATTTGGGAATTGCCCATGATGAAAAGTCGGCAATAAAATTTTGGGTAAAGTGCTTAACGCGTTTTTAAGAATTGTACATACTCGGTATCCATGTGCACATCAATCTATTTTCACTTAAAAAAAATCCCAGAATTGCAAAAAAAAAAAAAAAATGGCACTGCGCACCCCCTTGATTTTATCTATGTACACATCGACCTATTTTCATTTAAAAAGTAAAATAAAATTGACAAAAATCCAATTGTTTTTACCCTTGTAAAAAGCGGCAAACAAATAAGTGAGCGATTCTGCACTTCTGAATTCCAATTCTGAATATTTTCAAAGAAAAGGCATCATTCATTATAGAAAATTACATTTGAACAACCAACGAGATGAAATTATGCTTTAGCGATAAGTCGGTAGCGAATAGCGTTGCAGGCATCCATTCAGTTATATTTAGCAATTTTTATATAAATTATAATAATGATCTGAAATAGTTATTTACTCTTATGTTTTCATTCAGTCATGTTTAGCCTTTTTCATATAAATTATAATAATAAAAAAGTATTATATGAAATTAACCTTTCATCTAAATTAAAACTTCAATCTTAGATAGTTATTTACTGTTATACTTCCTTTCTTGCCGCAATTATTAGGGTTGCCACAATTATTTTTGGCGGCATTTGCATCAACAGTAGTTTGGCGATTTTTTACGGCCCTCGAAACCGAATACAGTCAAAAGTCGTTAATCCGGACTCGTCGGGACTTCGGCGATTCCGGATTATAGATCATCAGTTTAAATCTCGTAAGATGGCATGCAGAAATTCTAAAATTAAAAATATGAAACCGTAATTTATGAAATAAAGAACAATTATGATCTAAAGGGTATCAAAATTTGCAAAAAAAGAAAAAGCTTAATATTTATTTGTTTACTTTATTAAACATTTCTTTCAATGTAATGTAAGTTGTTTAAGTTTTGCTTCGTTTCATGTGATAATACTTCTCTTTAATTCTATTAAACAGACATAATTTCTTGTTCAGTTACAAAGTTCCGCCGTTCAAGTCCTATAATTGCTGTGTCAAGAACACCGACTAATTTGTCAATCGAATTTTTTTTTTTGTTTTCAATAACCTCTGTCACTTTTCTTCGCTATCGGAAGCGAATTATAATGACGAGGAACTTGTTTTAAATCATATCAAAGACGGAGCATATCGAGATGAAATATTACATTTGGGAAGGAATTATAAGCCAAATAAAATAAAAACATCTGCGCTGAAGATAAGGATAGTGCTGACAAATCAACTTCCAATTCATTACGCGCCCGCCGCCGAGCAGCGTGAAATTGATAAACAGATTTCGGATTTCAAAACACACTTTCGCTTTAGATCCTTTACATATTAACAAATATATATCGGAAATTCTATTTGATATAATCGAAAGTTTAAGCTTACTTTTATAAAATTGCTCTTACAGTCTGCCAAAAAAAAATAATAAGCCGGATGCAATTCGAAAATTAAGGAACAACGCAATCTCATCAACATTAACTGAAATAGATAATTAGATAATTTTAGCTATACGTCCATTATACATAAAATGCGCACTCGAAAACGTATTCTGCACTTGCGCACACTCATATGCGCAGTCGTAAAAGGTCTTACGCGCACGCGTGAACGCCTCTGCGCATGTGTCAACGCGGCGCATGCGCAGAGAAAGTTTTAGTTTTTATGTCCGGATATAGATCATTCCGAATTATGGGTGTCCGAATTAACGACTTTTGACTGTGTTACCCAAAATAATTTCTCTTTTTTTTGCCAATACATTCATTATACAGTACGGAGGTTGGGAGGTTCTCCCCTTTCTCCGCAAAATCTCTAATATTGAAAGCAGCGGTCTTTCTTTCTTTCTTTCTTTTTTTTTTTTCGTCACTGCTCCAATCTGGATTGAATAGGACTAAAAGTTTTTGCGGTCTACCCAAGCCTAAGCAAAGATTGATTCTATTCCGGAAATTTAATGCAGTCTGTTGAAAATTATAATCCGAAACACCCCAGATTACTAAGTCTCTTTCTTTTCCTTTATTTCAGTTCTTTATTCTCCAAATACCAGCAGCTGTTGATTCCGATTGCGTAATATCACATGTGGAGGAATTATGCCGCATGTATCGCGCAATAACGTTTGCGGTATTTTGTAGAGATAATTAATTTTGATATTCAGTCCGAGATTTGTTTATGAACACTTAAAAGAGTTTTACTGTGCTTTCTAAGCAGAATATTTCTCAGTTCCATTGGTCTATTTTTATATGATGCACATATCGAAATATCAAAATCATTTATTTAGTCGAGAAATCTAAAGAACGGCTACAATCTCCCCCACTCCTCTTTTTCCAGTTACTATCCGGAATATTCGGCAATTTCCAAGTATGCAGATTAGTTAAGCTTTTAAAGGATGACTGCATGAAGCAATTTCCCGTCTTCTGATTTCAGAAATGTGCCTCTTTTTTACTTAAATTACTTTGCTTGGAATATATGTTAAGGGAAAACTGTTATGCAGTGAAAATTTAGAAAGTGTTCAGAATTTTGATTTAAGTTAAATTATTTAAATATGAGTGGGAAAATAAATTGTATTTATTATTAGGTGCCAAACAAATACAATTAATATGAATTTTTATTATTTATTTTCTATATTTTGAACTGAAATTTCTTCAATGCTCATTCTCTTAATAAATATTGCATTGCTCATATTTTATTTTAAATTACAAGTACAATTAAATTACAATTTTTCTTTTAAGGTTATGCAGTTGTGTATAATGTAATTAGACAAGGTGCTTATTTTTTCCTTAAAATGTGCTTGAAAAGTGTTTAGAGGTGCTTATTTTTTTGACTAAAATGTGGCTACGAACCCTGTGTAAATGCCCAAAATGAGTGCCTAAAGAGAAGTTCATTGTAAATCACATTATAAATTTATTATAAGTATTATAAATATGAAATAAATAAACTACACCATGAAAATTATCTTTTGATTTGCTATTTCTTCTTGTGACGTCTGATGTCCATGACATATAATATGATTTGAAGGAAAAAATATTGCAAAATATTTTGTTTCTATGCTTGAACCTAGAAAGAAAATAATCCAAGGAATGAGACTTTGTAATAACAAACAGAACATTTATTAACTTAACAATAATAAATGAACAAAATTAACAAAAGAATGGTGGTGGTCCACAGTCAGTACTGTGCTTTCTAGTAGCAGCAATACAGTCACAATGGCGCAGCTATTTGTAGTAACCACAAGCAGCTTAAATGCATAGCCTGGAATTAGGCAAAAAAGGAAATCCAAAAACTGCTTCCAAGCAGCACTCCACTATCATGGCCATCCAACACATTTCTAATATAGAAAATTATAATGATTTATTATCTAATTTATACTACATTTGGTTAAACTTCGGTGAATATAATATAATGAGTTTTGAAGTACACTGTATTTCCTTGCTTATTTTGCCCCTGCCGTTTTAGCACCAGGTTCTGAGAACTTTAAAAATATTTGCATAATTTTCCGCTTTCAGTGCATTTAGAGAATGAGCTTCCCATAAATTTTAAAATGGAATTGACTTCATAGGGATTATTTTCATCTTACTAACAAAGAAAAATCTTGCAAACTATTTGCAAATGCCATGCCAAATCTTCCCCTTTTAACTGTTGAATGTTTCACCAGCCTAATGCAAGAATCGACCAATCACAGCAAAACAAATGCAAACTGACATTCAATCTGCAGTTTTGCAGCATCATCTGCACATTTGTTTTTCTAATTATTTAGAGATGATCTGAGGCCTAAAGAGTAACAGAGACTATGATAGGATTTTATACGACAAAAGAATGGATGAGATTCAAGTTACAGGGAAGTAAAAATAGAGATCATATTAGATAGTTAATATTGCTACGCATTCTTATTGGAAGGTAGGGTTTTTTTTAAAGAAATAATATTGTGATAATTGCTTGTTTATTCATGACTATTTTTCATTAGTTTTATTCTTGCTGTAACCATGTCTTTTGGAAATTAAATTATTTACATGATTTTCCCTTTCAATTTTCAGACAATAAAATTAGTGAAAAAATGGGGCAAAATATGCAAAGAAATTCAGCATTTGTGAATCAAAATTAATATTTAATAAATGTTCAAAATTTGTGTGCAAATTATGTATTTATTAACTATTAGTTTTTCATGTCAAAATTAACAGTTAGTAACTAAATTAGAATTAAATTTAGAAGTTTTAAAGGTGAAGTTATAAAAGTTCGTTTTATTTTTTCTTTGATAATCAGCATATGCAATAAATCCATATAAATAAAAATTTAATTTATAATATATGATTAAATTTGGAATGTTTTGTAAATAATGTAGTAAAACTATGTATTATAAAGATTTAATTTTTTTTTTCCCCCAGAGGTGATAAAGCTATAAATTGTGCATCCTTAATTAGTTTAGTGAAGAAACAATCAAATGGACTTTTTCAGTCTTTACCAACCGCTGCCAAACGTTCTCTACTTAAATCTCTAGTGATTGTTGGTACTGCAAATAAACAGCCTGAAGTCAGAGACAGATACTGGGAAGAAGTAAATACATTTAAAGATGACTTGAATATTTTTAATTGCAATTTTGCTCTTTTGTTGATGTGAAAAATTATGATTTATATACAAAATTAAAATATATTTAGTAATGTTTATTTTAATTATGCTTTTTATGCATTTTAACTTCAATGAAAATTTTCTCTTTTCTTGAATAGCTTTTAAAGCCCCTGCAAGAAAAATTCCAAGCTGTCATATGTTCGCCTGCTTTTGCTCAAACATATCACACAAAGCAAGTTCAAACTGAAGTCATAGATTTAATCGAGTGCTTAACTGGTGTGGTGGATGGTTGCACATTATCAAATTTGTCCTACTTATTGCCTTTTGTAAACCCTCATTTTGAAGAAGTTGTGAAACTTGTTGATATCTATCACAATTATAGTGATATTGTTGGAATGGTCTTCCAAGTATTTTGTGTAGCTGCTAAAAGAATTTTATGTTATTTGACTACGGTTTGTTAATAATCTTATTAATAATATTAATTTATCAAATATCTTTCATATTGTATGTCTTTAACAAATTAATGTATCTAAAACACTTGTAGAATATATAGTTTTGTTTTTTTCATGGAAAATTTTATTACATTATGACTTAATTGCTATTTTAATTTAAAGTGAAAAAATTGGCCAAACGTGCTCTCAGATGGCAATAAATAATAGGCAAAATGTTTGGATCTTATTTAATATGTTAATATTAAATAATTCTTTATTTAATATGTTAATATTAAATAAAGAATAAGAAATGGCGTTAATGCAAGAATCAGGTGAAAGACACACTATTCTTGTCTCTGCCCCCATGAAGATATACATTTTCTGCACTCTTGAATGCAATAAATAAATTCAGCACCTTCATTTATTAACTTAAACTCAGTGTTAAAATGAATAGTTCATTTATTAGATTTTTGATTAATATTGTCTATTATTATTGCATTCAGTTCCACCAGTAACTTTTTTGTTCCTTTCTTCATTGTTAAGCAGTTTCTACAGCCACAGTGCTTGTTTGCTTAGTGTGAATAATATAAGAAATATAAGACTTATTTTTAAATCACATATGAGAAAGTATATTGCATTACTGAGACTACTATCAAATATATTGGAAATTATTATAGCTAGTTACATAAATAGAAAACTGTATTTGAAATTAATAAGGAAAAATATATTGTATATTCTTTTTTTGAAGGACACACTTAACAAAATCTCTGTATATGAATCAGTTCTTAAATGTATATAGATTTTCAAAAGATGACTTACATGAAAATGATTCTTGCTCTTTTGAAAAATGTATATTAATAATTAACAAAAACTTAAAATAGAAAAAATAATGACATTTTGTTGATTAAAATTTTGAGAAATAAAGATTTTAAAAGCATTACTGTTAACTAACCAATGGCTAATTTCAGTGAATGAAAAAACAATTCTCAAATTTCATATTTTCCTTTCCACTTGGGAAATGGAAAAGTAAAAATGGTCTTTAAATGCATAGTTACATAATTTTATTTTCATTAGTGTGTCAAAATCTTTGTATTTTTATTATTCAAAATAATGTATATTTTTTAATAGTTATTTATGTAGTATTTATTTAGAACCTAATTATTTTATTCTGTATTTTCTAGTCTGGCTCTAAAAATTTGTATGACTGCTGTGTAAATATGATACGGATATATGCAAAACACAATACTGGTGAGAAAATGTTTATCATTTAAGTGTGTCTGAAATTTCTTTCATTCTTTGAAATCTATTATCAGCTACTTTGTAGCTGTTTCAAAAATTAGAATGTGCAAATCATTTTATCTGTAATGTTCTATTTTATTACCTTTTTTTAGGTAAATTGACCAGGGAGGCTAATGCTGAAGAGGAACAATATCAGGATATTTTAGTGTTGATGCAACTACTGACTGACTTATTATTTAAAGATTTTATTGATTATGCACCTCCATGTATGTATGAAATAACTGTGTTGATCTAGCTGAATTAATTCCAAATTTGGGTTGTGTTTTATTATTCTAAATTTGTTAAAAAGTTAACTTTTTCTTATTTTAATCTCCCCTTTGCATGTAAATTTCAGTAGTTGGTTAATATGTATGTAATACCCATTCCCATGACAAAATGAAGTAATAAACAAAAATCCAAAAGATACTTTTTGATTAGTTTGGTATCTGTTGGTAATAGAATTAACTGTGTGACTGTTTATATTATATTACAAAATATTTATGTAACTCATTTGAAAAGATGGGTTATGTTCTGAGATTTTAATTGTAGATTTTTCAGTGCAAGGAGATATAATATTTTTACATAAGCTTATATAGTCCTATGTAAAAATAGTTTAACTTAAAACAGCAAAAGTTATATATATATATATAATATCCAATATTGTAATAAAAGATTTTCCATTTACTATGCAAAATTTGATGTGGAAATTGTCTTTTAGAGTATTGGTCTTCAAAGTAGGATACGGGAACCCAGGGGTATACGCCAAAGAAGTAGGCTCATGCTACTTGAGAGTATGGTGATTTTGTATCACATGAGTGCAAGGTTCTCTCGTTGGTCACTGTATCTGATTTCACTAGCCTTTGTAAACATAACTGCACCAATTTTAATGTGCATGCCTATTACATTATGTTACATTACATTATATTATTTTATGCTATGTTATTTCATATTGAGCACAACTTGTAAATTGTTTTTGTCTTGGGTACATGATAAAAATGTATGGAAATTGCTGTTTTAGAGTACTGGTAAGATCATTAATAACTGCTAATAAATTTTCTTATATCATTACCTGAAGTATTCACTGCACGGTGTATACTTTCGGTAGGAATATTTAATATTATTTGGCTGAGCAAAAAGGCTAACAAACAAAACAATGCTAAAGGTTAAAAAAAACTAATTGAAATAGAGCTTTGATGGTTTAAATATAAATTAATAAAGACAGAAGAGGACATAAATAATTTTAAAAAACTGCAGATAATTTAGCAGCTAAATGTAAAGCACTGGAGAACATCTAGCATTTCATAAAGTCAAATAATTTCTATAAAGAAATAAAACAGAAACAAGATTAACTTTGGAGAAAAAATTAAATTGAAAGCCTCTTTTAACCCTTCTTCTTTGATTTTATGTATTTATTTATGTAGAAAACTTTATTATTTTTTTATTTTCATTTTGCATACTTTTGTTGAGACTTTTGATGGATAATAGTTGTTCTTATCTTTTTGTAATATATATGCAGTGCAAAATCCAAGATTCAGGCTCATTGGTACTTCAACAATTCTGAATTTTAGAATTTTCCAGCTTTTAGATCATTAGTTTAAATCTGGAAATAATAAAATTTAAAATATGAAATAGTTGTTCATGAAATAAGGAATTATTTATGACAATAACAGAATAAAATTGTACAGAATAAATAAATAAAATAAAAGCTTAATATTTATTTGGTTTATTAAACATTTCTTTTATTATAAGTTGTTGAAGTTACTTTGTTTTTTGTGCTGATATTTTCTCTTTAATTTTATAGATGGATGTAATTTCTCGTGCACTTACAAATTTTCATTGTATAAGTCCTGTAATTACCACATCGAGAATTTGTACTAAATTGTCAGTTGTATATTTTTTTGTTCACAACAACGTCTCTGTCACTTTCTTCACTATCAGTAGCAATATTTTCTGGATTTAGAACCATACTATAGATTTCACTGTCTGTTTGTTGATTGATTATTGGAGCATTCTTATCACAATGGAAAATTTCTGTTATATCATCATCATTTATTACCACTTCGCCACATTTCTTCAAAAGTTCTATTAATTGGAAAATTTCATTTTTTGTTTGCGATATTCAAAAACTTGCTGCTTAGCTAGACTCTAAATACTCTGTTGGTTATGTATCATGAGGCTGGTGACTTAAAACATCTTATTCTTTTAAATTTTGTTTTGCTTATATTGTACAGTAAGGAAGTTAAACCTGAATTTTATTAGTTAACTAAACTTATGTCTTATTTCCCACATGTGTTAAATTCTTATCTGAGACTTGAAGGAATAAATTTCCACATATACTTCAGGTTTTTCTGAACAACAAATCAATTGTTCTTAATTCAGTTCTAAATGTAATCTTTTGGTTTAGGAATATCATATGCAAAAGAATAATTTTTTCCTCCCCGCATGGTAAATTTCTGTTAGTTTCTCCTTGTCAACTCTACACTCCACAGAGCAAATGGCTGAAGTATGTAATCATTACTAAGTATAATGTCACATAAAGGGTTTACCATGCTGTTTGGTATTCAATTGCTAACATAAAAAAAAAAAAAAAAAAAAAAAAAAAAAAAAAAAAAATCACTGCATGGTCATTTTTCAAACTGCCACGCGCTGATAGTTTTGAGATGATAAATGCAAAAAAATAAAAATACTTGCTAGGTTTGGAATTAGGATTATAAGTAATTCAGTAAGTGTAAAATCAGCAGTGAACTTTGGTTAGGATGCAGAGCTGAGCATTTTTGTGCCCTGGTGCAATCTCTGCAGTTCCTAAATTTTGTTGATTTACTTCACTAAATTCTAAAAATTTTGCTGCTTAGTGTGACTACATTGGTTGCATCAGTTCTGGCTCTGGCCCTGCTACAAAGTTTTGGTTTGAGATCTATGCCAAGCAAAAAGCCAGTTACAGAGCCAAATTATTGATCGAGGTTCCACCAGTTGCCATGATTAACATGCTAAATGCATGTTGTTTTCCGGTTGTCTTGATGTGGTTGCCTCAGTGGGTGCTTGAAGTAGAGTGATTACTTTATTGATGGGTTCAGGAGGACAGCTAGGATGGACAAATTATTGATGCTACATATTTATGTTAATAAATGATTGTGTTTCTTCAACATGGAAGTGTTTATAATTTAGTGCCAAAATGAAATTAAGAATTGGAACTCTCATCATCCTTTAATACCCCCCTAAAAAAAAGCATACTGTGCATGCAAGAAGCATTAAGCATATGCTAAAACAAGATGCTGCTTTTAGAATGTAATTTTTCCCTTTCTGAAAATTTTGGTGGTCTAGTCTGAATGATCACATTTGGGATCTTTCTGAATATGGTATGTCCAGATTTTGGACTTGTACTGTAGTTTCTTTTATATTGCACAGATAAAATACAGTAGTGTATAATAAATTAAAACTTGGAAAATTATTTTTATTTATTGATTAAATGATATTTGTAATGAACAAAACTTGAGTTATTTCCACCATTATTTCTTAATCACGCGTTTCTCTATTTTTTTCTGCTCTTGCCAGACACGGATTTGCGGAACACGGTTTTGTGTATATGCATTATCTTGTCATAAATTTATTTGTTCAGTGTGAGAAATTCAATTATACGCAGTAAGCTGCACAGCATCGACTGTGTTCCAATAATCTTTAATGACTGGTTTAAAAATTCATTCATTTAAAAAGTCAGACATTACTTGGAACAGCAAAACCTGAGTTTTAAAGTTTTCCTAATTCTCAAGCATGATATTGAAGCTCTCATGACATTGTGTCCAAATGTAGAGGTCTTATTCCTCCCACCAAAAACCATTCCTTAATCCAAGCAATTGATCAAGTAATCATAAAAATATCCAAAGCCTGTTATGTCAAGCATGTTTACAGCTCTGCAAATAAAGCACTAGGTGAAGGAAAGCATGACATACTAATGGCATTTGGAAAGCAGTTCCACATAAGATATTGTTTAGAAACGATTAAATTGTCATGGGAACAAGTGAATTCATCAACAATGAATGCTTGCTGGCATCAGTGCTTATCAGAAGTTGTGAACAATTTTAAAAGGTTTCCATCACTTCAAAATAAAGCAAAGGATTATTTTTAAAAAAAGACACAGGAATTGTCTGATTTTGTCATGGAAATTGACCAAAATGAAGAAAGAAGAGGATACGTGGGTCCTTATCTTTCTTATTTGGGTCACTTTTTTTTTTTTTTTTTCTTTTTCAATAAGAAGTATTGAAAAGCTTTGTACTCCATATTGTGGAATATTTAATGAGTTGCATCAAACATTTTCCGAAGCAAAAATTACCAGTTATTTAAAAAAAATTTTTTTTTCATGTACCTACTTATTAAGCAATAATAAAAATTCTTTAAATTAACATTTGTTTTATTTTCTCTTTTTAATTATAATGCTATTTAGGTTTTTATAAATTATAAATACTTTCTTAATCTGAAGTATAGCTAACTTATTTCCTCCAAAGTGATATGTTAACGTTTAACCCATACTTCGGCAAAGGTTTACTGTAATCATTTTTATCATAGAGACTTTTGAGCTTAATAACAGATTTCAGTGTTTTTACCTCCATAATGTATTATCAAATTTGAGTAATGCCAATAATAACATTTGCACAGTTAAGTCATGGGTTCTTATATGTATATATATTTTCAGGAGGGAAAAAAGTAGGAACCATGTATTTGTGTTTACTATAAAAGAACTTTGAAAAAAAATGTGGCTCATATATATTAGATGTATTTTTTAAGAAAATTTATTTGTTAATATACTGAAAGTTTTGCTGAAAATAGGTAAATATTTGGATGCTGAGTTGTAAGAACATAATAACCAAGCTTTTTAGTGAAGATTAAGAGAATAAGTAAAAGGCAGTTTTAGGTAAAATTTCTTATTTCTACCTGCTCTTGGGGGGATATTTGTGATTAGATGCATTTTTTATGTGTTTATTAAATAAAATTTTGTCTCTTGTTTTTTAACATACCACATTCTTTCACATTGTAATTACCTAATCTTTTAACTTAATTAAGTTGTATCTTTGTTTTAATGTAGATTTAAAACATTGTTTTTTTTAGGTACTTTGTTAAAGTAGGGTTTTATATTATTTTAGTTTAGATGTTTGAGATATTTTGGATTAATCATTTAATAAATAACTTTTAAAGAGGAAATTTAAATTGCACAGTTTTAATTGTATATTATTCTTTTTATTTACAGGTGCTGAAAATTCTTCTGAGTCACTTTCTGCTGCAGATGTTGCTTTATATGGTCTTAGTATTATCATGCCCCTTATGAGTGCCGAGCTTTTAAATGTAAAGAAACATTATACTTATCGTAATTTAATATAAGAGTTTGTGATGAGAAATATGTATGTTGATCTTTTATTTATTTCTTTTGCAGTTTCCTAGTCTGTGCTTACAGTACTTTAAACTGATCACATTTGTTTGTGAAATTCATCCTGATAAAATATTCCAGATACCTGAGAATTTATTCAAACAGTTGCTGTCATCGGTTCAACTAGGACTTACATCGTATCCTTGTGGCAATTTAAAATTATTTGTTGTTTTGTAAAATAAGAACACGTGAGCATTTTGTGTTATTAGAAATTTTTTAGTTCTTACAGTAATGCATTTTTATTCAATAAAAAATAATTATATAATTGGTTTGATTACAAAAAGGTAGGAGAAAGCTGTGCATATTAATATATGTAATTGGCTTTTTGCTTTAATGGATTAATGCTAAATTTACTTATTAATCCCAAAATTGTCCTCTTGATAGTTATAATTCAGTTGCATATTGGAATTATTTTAAAAGAACTCAACTTTTTTTTCCACGTTCAAGCCGAGAGCCTGGTTGATGTTAGTTCTTGTGATTCATTGTTTTATAGTGCTCTTTTTCCTTTGCTCCTTATTTATATTCCATATTTAAAAGGAAAGTTTCTTTACAGGAGGAATGTATAAGCATATATTCACTGATTTAGCTCATTCTCTGCATAGTTACAGTAGATTTTAAAGCCAGAGTATTAATAAGCAGGAAAATTATTTAGAGCTGTTAGCAACATATATATTTGAATTCATGAGACTGTCAAAAATTTTGATAATTCAGTAATTAACATACACCTCCACAGAAGAAAGGTCTTATTCTTTTCTGTTACCATGTTTTCATTTTTCGTTTTTTACATATAAAAATAGTGATAAATTACTTTTTAAAAGAACAGCACAAAAAATGATGGTTTCAAAGGTTCAAAAATAGCCAAGTTATTATCATTACTGTTACGGATGGTATAAATATTTTTATTTATGAAAGTATGAAATATTTCTCCTAAGTGTTAGTACATGACCCTGGATAAATTATAACCTATCATAGATATAAATTTGTTCAGATTATATATATATATATATATAATTTCAAGGGACAATGTACAATTTGTTAACAGTATGTTAGTCTGCATTTTTTGTGCAATCATCATTGAATCCTTTGAAGCTCTGGCACTTTGACAAATTCTGATGATGTGATTACATTTTGATGATATAATTACATTTGATTTAATTTTGATTCTTCTACATAAGAAATTTAATTTTGATTTTACACACTTCTCTTGTTGCAATCATTTCGTCTACTTTGAATCCAGTAATGTGCTTTTGTTATAAAATAAGGTCTGGAAGTTACTTTGGACAAAAAGATTATATTTTGAAAATTTCTATACTTTTCTGCTATCATGCTGTTTAAAATGTAATAAAAATATTAGAGTAGATTTGATTAATTTCTTCTATAAAATATTAACATGTCTAAACTAATGTTAAAGTAATTTTTTATGTTATATATTTCATTTCATTGTATATTATTCTTTTTATTTACAGAATGTTAACATAGAACATTCTGTAAAATACAGAATATTAACATAGAACATATGTTGTTATGTTAATATAGAACAGAAATTTCTTATTTAAAGAGATTGAATTAATGCTTAGTTGTTTTTGCATGTAAGATACAAGTTGATCTATTTATTTTCAGTCATAAGGTATTAATTTGGTTTTTATTAATAAAAATAATACAGTTTTGAGGGACACTTAGTATTGAAGTTCTAATAGTTTTTTCACATTTCTTTTAACATTGATACTGTCTAAAGACTGTTAACAGCCCACTTCTTGCATTTTGAATGTTCTAACTTTAAAACAAAAGCAAAAGGAAAAGAAGTAAAGCACAAAAGTGAAAAAATTTTGAAACTCCCACCATTTCACTGTCTTGTTCCATCTTTAATTGGAACTCAAATGAGAATAAATATTGAGTTATTAGTATTTATAAATTTTGTGTATCATGATGTATATTCTGTGCTGATTTCCAGTTGGTTTTTAAATGCATGTCTGTCATTCTCTCCGATATACATGATTGCACTGATTCTGTAATGAAATTTATATTTTGTTGTTCATCTCTCTTTTGCTGGTCTTTCTGCTTGAAATACTTAACTTGATGATGCTAGATTCACACCGGAAGTTTCATCCTTATGTCTTGACTTCTTGACCATTTTAGTCCTACACATGCAGAGATCTAACATGCAAGGAACTCCTGCATATGCTGCTTTAGAACCTTTCTTAAAAGTAAGTTAAGCATGTTCATAGCTGCCAGTTATTCTGATTTTACCAGGAAATTCCTGTTCTTTCATCACATGTACTGATAGATCACTGATGACTCCCGATTTTTAATTTTTAGCCTTTACTAATGAAATGTTTCACATTAATTTTTCATTAAATCAATAAAATTCATTGATTTAATGAAAGATTATGCAAGTTCCATGCCTCCACATCTAGTATTATTCAGAATAATTTTATTTTATTTCATCTGAATTGCATTTTTTTATCACATTTTTTTAAAATCTTGTATTAAATCACACTTGTATTAAATACCATTTGATCTGAGTTTTCTTAATCTACTGCAAACATTTGTAGATTTTTGTATGAAGATTCAAGAAATGTTTAATCAGTTAATATTTGTGCACTGCTGGTCATTAAAATTGCAAAACCCTGATGGAAAGTAAATACAAAAAAGATATTTAGTACACTTAAAAACAGTATGGCATGAAGACAAAATGATTAAATTTTTAAGCATTTTGGACGTTTACAGGGGTCCGCAATTAGTATAAACAGCTGCCATACCTGGCAGCTAAAACAGCCCTTATCCCATTAGGCATGGAGTCAAATTGTGGTTGGATGACAGAAATGGTTAACTCATTCCGTGCTGCTTTAAGTCTGTGCCACACTTCATAAACCGTATGAGCTGGAGAGGGGTGGCAGGCAGTCTCTCAGCAACTTATGACCAGATGTTTTCAGTGGGTGACAGATCTGAAGACCGTGCAGGCCAGGGCAGCAGTCGAATACCCTGTGTATCAAAGAAGGTCAGAACACGATGTGCAACATGTGGTCTTGCATTATCTTGTTAGAACATAGTGTTTGGGGTCTCAAAGATAGGGCACAACCACCTGAAGTAAGATATCAAAAATGTACCTATCTGCGTTCAAATTACCGTTAATTCGAACTAGAGGTGTGTGTCGTGTATCCATTGGCTGCCCAAACCATCATATCAGGTGCAGGGTCCCTGTGGCGATATTGAATGCAAGCAGATAACATGCCGTTTTCTCGGATTTCCAGACACGTATGCGGCCATCAGAATACTGCACATAGAACAAGAACTTGCTTGAAAAGCCGACATTGGGCCACTACTATACCCAGCTTTATCGTTTGGCACACCAGGGTCTCTGTCTCTCTTTATGCTGCATTGTCAAGAGAAGCCAAAGTAATGTGCCACGCTACTGATAGTCCACGCTGCTGCAAACGTTGACACTACTAATAGTCCACGCTGCTGCAAACGTTGACACACTTTACAAGCTGATACTGGGCATGCTGAAAAGATGCCCATTTCCTGACTAATGGTCCATGATGTGATCGTGCAGTTTTGCAGGGCTGACCTCACAATATGTCTGTCATCTCTACTGTTAGTAATGGGAGGGCGTTGAGATTCTGCATGTCGTTCAGTATGACCCTCAGCAATCCATTGAATCCATATTCGCATGACAGTGGTTGGGTGTCAACTAGTATGACCGGCAATAATCTACACTTTCAATAGGCAACGATCCTGCCTCTATCGAATTTGAAAACTTGCTGGTAAGCATTTCCTCTTCTTATTTGAAGCATAACATGATATCCTGAGCAAAATCCAACTTTACAAATAACTTTCTGAATGAGAAATTCAGTACACAACTTTTCTTTTATGCAGTGCTTCATATGTTGTTTCTCCTTCCTGCATCTTCTAAATGTGCTGAAATACTAATCATTTGCATATCCCAACTTCTTCCTTTCATGTGACTTTGACAGATCATCCTTTCCTGGTGTTGCAATTTTAATGGCCAGCAGCACAATTAGTTTTGTTTAATTCAATATATGGTACATAACTAAGTTTATCTTATATAAATACTATGTACATTAATTATTGATTTTATTTTCATCTTATTTAAAATACTTTGATAAATATAAACTTTCCTTCATTTCTTTTGATTTTGTTGGTTTAAAACTGTAAGAAAGTATTTTAAAAATGAATATGCATTATAAAATGAATTACAGTCAGTTCGAAGTTTCTTTGAAACTCTGTCGCAGTGCAGCTTCAAAGTGTATCAGTTTCTTCTGGTTTTCTCTCAAAAATATCCCAGTTTTTAACATTTCAAGGTTGATGCATACTTGAAATAAGTAATTCAACATGTTTATTTTAACATAGATCTTTTATTTTCCTGTTGGTATTTAATGTATGTGTTTTGAAACAGTTATTTCAGGTATATAGCTAAAAGTTATTTATTAAATAATTAAAGTTGTATGGAATGATGTAAAATTTTTAATATTGCATGTAGAACTGAATTAGGTTTTAGGTTAAACACGTTTATGCTTTAGGTTTCAAGTAGATGTTTAAAAGTTTTTTAAGCAACAATGGTATTAAAAAAACATACTTTATATTAAGCATTTTCTTAGATAAAATTTTATTTTCATATTTACAATAAACTAATAAATCATTAGTATTCAGTTACATGAATTGTTGTTGAGTATGTGAATTTTTATTACAATAAATACAATTACATTCATTTTCCAGATTGAAGCAAGAATATCTGTATATATTGAATATTCATCATTTCATCTTAATCATGAAAATATGAATATTCAATATTTATGCACTGAAAAATTTTAAATATTTTTTATCATTGTATGTATTGCAAGAAACGTGTGTTATCGATATAGTTATTATATTAATTAGAACATATATGCTGGTAGTAAAAAAAGGACATGGAACTTGCACAAGATCTTTATTCTGACATCTATGACATATCTTCAAAATGCAGAATTTCCAGTTTCTGAAAAAAATAATTAAAAGAAGATAGGAAATGTGATATAATGTGGGATAGGAAAAAGTTGGTATTATGAAGTTTTTAGAGATACATAGGAAGAATTTACAAGCCGTATGTTTTTCCCTTATTGAAATGCAAGCTTACAGTAGTTTTCGAATACTGTGTGTTAGATTGTCTTTCCTGCAGTAGTAAGTGTATTCATAATAAATAGCATCTTGAAGATCCTGAAGAGTGCTAAGTGGAAGTTGCATTTATCCAAGTCAGAAACCTTGTGTGTCCCATACGCATTCTGTCGGATTTAAATCTGGAGAATTTGCAGACCATCCCATCTGCTGTATTCGATTTGCCCTCAAGATGACAGAACATGATGTGGATGAGCATTGTGGTTCATTAGAAGAAAGTTACCAAATGCACCTCTACATTCTTAATGAACTTGGCATAAGGATCAAGAATTTCATCACAGAATTGGGCATTTAAAGTTTAATTGATAAAAGTATATAGTTAATGTAGCCAGAGCCAGTCAAAATGACATTTGCTGATACTGTGATTCTTTCATCTTTGTACTGATAACATTCATGGATGTTTTCTGGTGTATTGCATGCATTTGGTCCCTTCAGAATGTAGCAGGTCTGGAATCATTCTCCAAACAGAAACAAGACTGATCAGTTAAAGAGAATTTGGGTGTAGGATCTCTGCACTATTGCAACCAGACACATTTTCAAGCCCGTGTTAGTGGGACTCAAATTGTGAATATTCTGCTATATAGCCCTCTTTTATGCAAGCATGTCACCCATGATACATCTCGATAGTTCAGTTCTTGTAGCTGCAATGACCCCCTTGTAATTTTGGCTGATGTCAATTGTCTGTTTCTTTTAGAAATTGTCATCAGATAACAGTTTTGAAAGTCTGTAGATAACCACTAAAGAAGTGCCATTCCGTTTTTGCCGGAGCGCTGATCATTTATTCAGTAGTGTAATGGCTCTTTGAATCGATTCTGGAGCAGATCATCCATCTCTATGATGAAGCATTAAATACGTATATGGAATACACTGAAAAGCTAAAGTATAATGTTGGAGATGTAATAAATATTCATATTATATAGATTTTTTTTTACTAAAAAATATCTATGAAATAAATAGATTTTTTTAACTTTATTTGGAAAGACTTCATGCACAAACAGTATGGATGACCTAAAACCAATATCTGGTCAAGCATTATTAAACTTTAATCATTAAACATGTTTGTAGAATTAGCTAAATGCAGTCTTTTAATTTTTCAGTACATTCATTGATTGGGGGGAATAATCATTGAGAGCCTCTCCCCTCCTCCCCTAAAATTGCAATGTTACATAATTTTAGTCTGACAATCTGGCATATTTGAAAATCCAACATATGAAATGGCCTGATCATATCATTTATCGAATTTTCGTTGTCTTATGCTTTTGGGGGCTGTTCTCATGAGCATCTTTCAAATAAGTAATAATTAGGCTGCAGACTATGTAAGCATTATTCATGCTTTTATTTTTGCTACCAGAAATCAATTGATCAGTTTACATTTCAGTTTTTCATATAATTCTTCAAACAGAAGTAATTTTGTGTGCCTCTTTCTATAAATGATATAAGCTCTAATTTTTATACTCTGCATTTCAGTTAACTAACCTATGTTTATGACTTTTCTGGGACTTCTTTTTGAAGAAAATTAGGTTCTTTACTAACATAATTACTTTTTAAATGTGGATTAGTTTTATGTTTAGAATTTCTTTCATTACAATAAATTGAATTAATTTTGATTTTTTAGATTGTTTTAGATATGCTATTACAGTCACCACTTGATGCTGATCTGACGCAGGTTGCCAGTGGCACGCTTTATACTCTCATTTGTTGTTTTCAAGTAAGTTTAACTTTTTTGCATAGTAATTAATCATAAGAACAGATGACTGCTGTAGATTAAATTGCAGTATAGCCAATATGTTAAACAAAATAATCTAATATTGTAACTTCATTAGAAAAAAATTGTGATATGAGTTTAGTAAAAAACGTAAGAGTGAATTATTTTTTAATTTATATATGAAAGTCAATAAATATGATTAATATTTTTATGTACATAAAAAGTGTCAGGAGGGAGTTTATAATTTTTAAGCTTTAAACAGCAATAATAAATGAAACAAAACACTGTAGAAAAGGCAAAACTCAATTTCACTTATTACATTAAGGACTTCATTTAGAAAAAGCAGTCTTTCACTAAAAAAAGTTATTGATATATATTTTTAAATTAATATTTCAACAAGGATTCAGTATATTAACAATAAAACTGATTTCAATGAGTCTGAATTGCAATGTTTAAAGTTTTAAACTGTGCACAAGAAAATAGGATCATGTTGACATGAAATTGTAAAATTAATTTTAGTCATGGTTTAATGAATTTTATTATTTCGCATTGTGCATATTTTTTAAGGGCCATAATAATCATTCATAAAATAAGGTGTCTGAGCAATTTATTTCTATGAAAAACTTTTTTAATCTTGTCAATTGTGAAGATTACAAATCAAAATGAAATATTGCATTACAAAAAAAAAAAAAAAAAAAAAAAAAAAAAAAAAAAAAAAAAAAGACAGACAAAAGTACTATTAAGCCGCAAATGTCCGAATGACTAAAAGTATGAAACACTGATAGATCTGAGTTCTAATTTTGGTATTAAATAGGCTCACTGCATGAGTGCAGGACTTAGAAAAAAAGGGCTAGTTCATAGAGCCTTTCTCCCTGAAACAGGAGTGATGATGTAGTCATGCTGACATTGCCTGCAAAGACATAATTCACAGCAAAGAAATGAATGTTTTAAATTTGAAAAATCAGCCTTAAAAAAAGCTGTGCATGAAAAAATAGCTTTAATTTAGAAAAGATGTTATTACTGTAAGCATTTATAATCTTTAGAGAGTTCATAATACTGATTTATTAATTTTAAAATAATAGATAAAATATGCTATACATTTTCTTAAAAGTTGCAGGTTTTTTTTTCTATATGCATTTATTATGAAGGGAAAAAATATGGTTTTCATTATCTTTTCCTCATCTGCATACTAAGTGAGAGAATTCTGTTTCTCTTTAAGATAACTATATCAGATCTATATTAAGATAGATTAATATTATATATTAAGATTATATTAAGATTATGAGATATATTAAGTTGGGGGAGAAGAAAACCTTGGTTTGGTGAAGATTTGAATATGTATGTCATTTTGTTTTCTTTTCTTTTTTTTTTTTTTTTTCTCTACCTCATTTGAATACATGTGAACTAGAAATTACCATTCTAGAAGGAAAACGAAAAGCAGAAATGGCAGAAATTTTCTTTAATGCAAAATAACTGATTAATAAAAATAAATGAATGCTTTACAATACAGTGAGTCCTCATATCAGATACAGTCAAATCTTTGCCATATCCAGCATGATTAGCATTGTGCTTTGTTTGTGTATGACCTTTTTCAATACAGGATGTTTCATAGATTATGGGACAAACTCGGAGGGGTGGTGGAGTCTACTGAAACATGCATTTTTTGTATGGGAATGAATGGGTTAAGGCAGGAACGCAAAAAAACGACACGAGAGGAAAATGTGTGTATGTACAAAATCAATGCATAGTGCTTCTTTGCAGCAATACAGTATTCACAATAAATGTTAAAAAAAGGGAACAGTAACAGGAACTACAGCTGTGATTGGCTGGCAATGCAGCGGTAGTGAGCTGGACAAACCACGATCCGATGCATTGGAGGATCATGCGCAACTCCTGATGTCAAGTGTGATGGGTGAGTTTACACACAGAAAAAGCTGACATGCATCTCATGTATGGTGCTGCTAATGGGAAAGGCAGAGCAGCACTACTGTTGTACCAGGAATGGTTTCCGAACAGCCGCATGCCGAAACACACAATGTTCGAGAGGTTGCATTGGTCTCTGTGTGAAAACGGGTCATTTGAAGCCACCTCTGACACTAGGAGTGGAAGAAGAAATGCACGATAACCTCGCATTGAAGAAATCCATCTTGAACATTGTGCATGAATCACCTCAGACAAGTACAAGAGCTATTGCACGTCGTCTGCAGCTGAGTCATTCCACCGTTTGGAGAGTATTGCATGAAAATGGTTTGCACCCATACCATTTGCAGAGAGTCCAAGCCTTGCAAGAGACAGATTACCCTCTTCGAGTTCATTTCTGTCATTGGTTCTTGCAGCAGTATGCGGTGAATTTCCCATCGGATTCACGGACGAGGCAACTTTCTCATAGGACGGCATCTTCAATAGCCACAAATTGCACATGTGGGCAACTCATAATACACACGTCCACATACATTCCAAACCTGCTTCTCCGTGAATATGTGGGTGGGTATTGTTAACGACTACCTCATAGGCCCATACTTCTTACCTGACGTACAAATGGCTTATGTTATCATATTTTTCTGCAAGAGGTGCTACAGGAATTACTGCAGGATGTTCTGGCTATTGTTCGTGATCGCATGTGGTTCCAGCATGATGGTACACCAGCCCATAATCACATGCGGGTCCGCAATTACTTGGATGGGACATTTCCGGGCTGATGGATTGGCCGTGGTGGACTCGTTCGATGGCCACCCCGCTTGCCAGATTTTTTTTTTTATATTATTTTTTTTTTTATGGGACAATCTAAAGAGCATCATTTACGAGACTCCCGTTGACTCACGGGAGGACCTCGTTGCACGACTATCCATTGCGGCTGCAAGCGTGTGCGAAATGCCTGTTGTTTTTCAAAATGCTCGTCAATCCCTTCTGCTACGTTACCAAGCATGTATTTCCTTTATTGAAAATCAGTTTTAATCAAGTATATATTGACCGCTATTATCTGTGACCTTTTGCCATTTTTCGGGTAGCTTCATGATTCTATCGGTATAGAACTTCTGTGGTTTATCATCGAAAAACTTGGCCAAGTGATTTTCAGCAGCGCTTTGGTCGGCAAATTTTTTACCATCAAGAGAGTTTTGCAGAGACAAACAAATGGTAGTCAAACAGAGCAAGGTCTGGGCTATGCGGTTGATATATCAAAACTTCCCAATCATGCTCAGTCAATTAGTTCCGAGTCATCAAAGGTGTGTGTGGCCGCGTATTGTTATGATGGAAAACAATTCCCTTTCTGTTGGCCAATTCTGGTCACTCTTTCTGGATTACTTCGTTCAAACGGTTGAGTTGTTCACAGTACAGGGCCAAATTGATTTTTTCACTACATTGCAGCAACGCATAATGGACAATTCCTTTCCAATCTCACCAAACACTCAACATAACCTTATTTGGTGACAATCCAGGCTTTGAAGTCATTTGTGGAGGGTCACTGGCCTTTGACTATGATCGCTTGTGCTTGATATTCTCGTATTTCATCCATTTTTCTTCATCTGTAATAATTCGCTCCAAAAATGGTTCGATTTTGTTGCATTTTACTGATGGTAATTCAGTCAATCAAATTTCTTTGCGTTAATTCATGTGGCATCCAAACATCGAGCTCCTTTTTGTAGCCTGCTCTTTTCAAATGATTCCAAACTGTCATGTTGTTGATGTTTAGTACCTCCGCTATTTTCTGACAGCTTGCATGCCAGTCTTGCTCCACCAAAATTTTATCAACCTTTTTCAGTGACTAGCCGACCAGAGCGAGGTGTATCTTTGACATCGAAATTTCCGGAACAGAATCGAGCAAACCATTCCTAGGTCCTTTGTTTACTCACAGCATTCTCACTGTGCACTTCACAAACTTTTCAGCATGTTTTTGCAGCATTTTTACCTTTTTTATTGTAAAAGAGCATCACATAGTATATTTCATTCAGTTTCAAATTCATGTAACTTTTTACATGAGCAACAATTTAAAAAACTATCTTCACAAACAATGGAAGCTGAATATCACCTTTTAAGCACATGTTCGTTTGAGACAATCAGGTGAGTGTTGCCGGATATATAGGCATCAGCATCATCTAGTAGCAAAAAAGCGAAATAGACTTTTTATATGACTCAAAGTATAAATATGGGTTCAAGAGCTAAAAGTTCAGTTCTGAATCGGCTGTGAGATATACCAATTAGCTGAGTTGCGATTTAGGGATTCATTTAAAGAATTTATCATAATTTTCATGCACTAAGAAGGGACTGTGTAATATTTGCATAGTTTGCTAAGCCATTTATTGTGCTGTGTAGGCTATTTATTGTGTGTTGTGAAATTTTTTTATAATAAATTGTTCATTTTTTACTGTTCTGGACTTTTTAATTAAAGAAACATCAACAAACTCATAGCTTGTAACAATATCTTTTGTGTTTCTGCATATCACATACTAAAGCTAAATATTTCAATAAAAGTCTTCCCATGTATACAAAAGTGAATATTTCCTAATTTTTTTTACTTCAATATTTTCATTTTTATATTTGATTTTTCCTGTAACTAAGTTTGAAATTAATCTTTTGAAAGTAAGATAATCTGCTTAGAGTTTTTGTATTTGCTTCTGGATAATTGGTGATACTCTCTAAAGATGCAAAATTCCACATTGAAGTCATTCAGTATTCAGTGCTTCAGTATTTTAAATGCATTTATCAAATATGAAAGTTAAAAATACTTAAATTTTTACGTGTTTTGTTGTTTATGCATTTTAAAATGGTCATTTGATATGGTAGCATTTTTTAAAACTCTTTGAAATCACTTTTATTTAAAGAATGCTGTAAAAACATGCTTTACACACACACACACACACACACACATATATATATAATATTATATTAATTGAAAAAGAAAATGTAAAGCGAACTGGTAATTAGACGAAAGTCATATTTCAGCAATTGAGACAAAGGTAATTTTTGCAGTCGTATTTCATTCATCAAATTCACTGAATTTATCGAACTGAATAAGCAGATATAAACACTTCTATATTTTGAGCACAGAATTATGTAAAGGAAAACTATATTATTCTAAACCTTTAGCATCTTTTCTTGAAAACTATGGAACTATATTAAATGTACAATTACCCAAATATGCTTCTAAGTATGTATGTTTTTAGATGAAATAATCTACAGTGCTTTGTAAATTTTTGCGTGATTATGCAAATTTGGTATTGAAAGGTCATATTAAGAATTCTGCTGTATACTGGCGATCATCAATTGTATTGTAGTTGCTGATCTGTAATTTTAGTAAAAGCATTTATCATAGAGAAAGCTATTGCATAAAACATATTTTACTTTTTTTATTTTCTGTATTACTAAAATTGATTTTATTTTCAGACAAAATATAAAGAATTAGTACAAGAACTTATAAACAGCCAATCAGACCCTGCCACAGCACAGAGGCTTCTTACATCTTTTACTAATTTATCTGCTAGTATGTCATTATCATTGGATCGTCACAGCCGCATGAAATTTCGAGAAGAGTTTGAGAAATTTATAACAGAAGTCAGAGGTTATTTGTGTGTGAAGTAAATTGTCCTGTTTTAGGGGCAAATTGCTATTTTTTTTTTTGGGGGGGGGTCTCTGAACCTATCTATGTGTCATTGGGCCACCTGTAGGCTGCATTTTACAGCCTTTCATGTCATTGGATGCTTCTTTGAAAGAACATTCTATTTAATTTTCGATTCACAATCCATTCTGCTGATCATGTCTAAGTACGTTTATTAGTATGATTTTGTGAACAAGTAGATATTTTTTATCCCATTCGTTTTTTTAGAAAATGAGCAGCTGTATTAACAATAATTGTAAATGTTCATGTTTTTTAAAAGATGGACATTCATTGAAACCTGTTTTAAGCTGTCCAAAGTTTTTTAGATTACTTCTTGTACATTTATATTTTAAATTTGACACATACTTAAATAACTCTTTGCTTATATTATGCCTAATAGTTGACACCGTTTATTCTATTAAATCTCACTTAATAGCACTTACTATTAATTTTCTAATCATAAAGATAACACACATTATCTTGATGAACTACTTTTGGTGTGTGCAAAACAAAATATTATCATGGCTTAATAATTAGTTTTCTAAGACAATTGTGGTAACTGTATAATTCTTGTGTAGAACAGTAATGATAAAATTACTGAATGGTAGTTTGACTTTATCAAAAATTCGAAGTTTTAAATTTGCATTTTAAGAGGAAGAAGCCTAATTTGAAAATGAAAGCATACAGAATGAATAATGATGATCAAACGAAAATGTAAATAGAATGTGTTAAAATAAAACAGCTGCTCAGTTGATTAGAAATAGTTAAAAATTACACATTCCTAAATAGACACTTTTTTCTTATCAAAAATAGTAATATAAGAAACAGCTGTTATAAATTTTTTCTTTTTATATTTAGCGAGACTTTACTTTTATTCAATATGTATAATATTTGTATTTGAACCTACATTTAATGTTGTAAAAGTATGATTTTTTCCTTGCTTAATATATTAATTTTATCATATGATGCAGTTGCCATAATTGTTTAATTTTCAATCCCAAATATGGTATTACAACCACCTATTAATGTTTTAAGTTGCATTTTGGGTTGTGAATCAATGATATACATATTTATTTTTTCATATAAAGAATGTGTACATCATTATACAGTGTTTTGTACAGTATTTTATATCAGACTTTTAGCATTCAACAATCATTGTAAAATATTCATTTATTTGTAATCATGTTTTTTACTACATTTAATTTTAAAGATTAAGAGAAAAGTATACTTGGAATGTATTTAAAAAAGCATTTGGTTTATTGTCATTTCTTGAATTTTTTTCCTCTCATTTTAATTAGTATCTTATATGTACTTCCTTTACATTTTTTAAAGTTGATTTTGCTTTTTTCCCCCCATGTTGAAACTTATTTCTTTCAAGCACACATTTTTTAAAGTTGATTTTGCTTTTTTTTTTTTCCCCCTATGTTGAAACTTTTTTCAAGCACACATTTTTTACATTTCATTAAAAATAATTTGTAATAATGTCAATTCATTTTTTTAAAATGCATTTTCTCTCTGTATAAGTAAATCATGTGTTTTATAGACATTTTTACCAAAAAATATTTATATTTTATGCTTTTCTTTTATTATAAAACTAAATTATGTTTTACATATTTATTATTCACAAAAGATGAAAAATGTGTTTGTACAGTTTCTACTGAAGTACATTTGACACAAAATCTGAATTTAAATTCAGAAATTGTGGCAGCCATGTTTTGAATTGTAAAATCTATAATAAAAATAGTATTAGTGCTGTGCTCCAAATTTGTATTTATTTCACTTAAGTGCACTTTTATTTCCTGGCAGTTCTGTTCAATTTTGCTGCAGCTATGCAACAAAGTTGTTATATGAATGATACAGATTATACCATAATAAATCTTACTTCATATAGAAAGTCCCTAAATTTCAGATAACATGACTTACAACATCTTGTGTTAAAACATTCTTTATAATTCACTAGCTGCCAGAGTTCCCTAAAAGGATAATTTACAACGAGCTTTCACACATGTAAACCACCACACATGATGTAAGCAGTTTTTTTTTTTTTTTTTTTTTTTTTTTTGTGTGTGTGTGTGTGTCCATGTAGCATCTTATGTTAATAATCTAGTTTCAATATAATTTTTACTATTACAGTTAAGCTTCCAAAGTGATTGAAATCCATTCCCCAGTACCCACCTGCATTAATGTTAGCCCATCTTCTTGTCTCAAATGTCAGAGATAACCCTTTGTGACACAGTGTGTCTGGTCTGGACATACGGTCCTTAGATTTGAAATCGATTTTTGGTCCTTAATTTTTATCATCTGAAATTTCTGTTTGTTTTTACGACTGTCATTTTGAGTGTGAATTAGCATTTTGAGGAATATTTTTGGCAATTCACTGCCATATATATGATTATCTTTTGAATGGGTTCATGAGTATAATTTGTTTATTTAAATAAATGGAGGATACTCGAGTTTCTAAGCAAGAAGTGAAACATAAGCCTTTCAAATTCATTTTTTTAGTAAAGAGCTCTTAAACAACTTTCGCTTTTGGGGATGTCATTCTTTTACTAAACAGTTCTAAATTTGGCGATTTTAAGATTAGTTTTTTATAGAAACTTTTAATTCTGAGATTGAGAATTTTCGACAATTTTTTAAAACATCGTAACATTAATAAATTCATTAAAGTAATGTAATATATGAAATTATATTTAAAAAATAACATTAAATAAAACATTTTTTTTTTTTTGCTTTCATATTTCAAGTTTCATTTTGTCAACTTTATTACAATATTTTGAATCTGAAAATAAACAAGGTATAATGCTGTAAATCAGCATAATTTGTTACGAAACAGCTCTTAGCAAGCAAATTACTATGTAATTAATTAAAAAGTCTTTTTAATTTTTTTTATAGTAAGCGTTTTTTTCCCATGTAATTGTCTCAAAATATCAAAATTCTCAAATGTCATCAGTTTCTCTATAAAATTAATTTTATTACTTCCCCTCCTATTTTCCAAAACATTCTGGCTTTTTGCTGTTACATAATTGGTAGGGATATTTTTCTTATGATTTTATAGACATTGCCAGCTTGGAAAGTTTAAAGGCTTGAAAGCGAGTTTATAGACTGACGATTCTAAAAATCTTGACAAAATAAAAAATCTCCATGTGGATTTACAGAAGTTTGCAATAGGATTTCTTTTCTTAATTTTTGGAGAAATCTGGAAGACAAGGGAAATCTAATATTTAAATGTTTTTCTTTGATACTAGAATCTTACAGTTGATCTTCTCTCTCTTTATTTTCACTAACAGATGCATGGAAAATATCAAAATGCTTCTGATTTTATCACATGGCCGAGGCATTATGAAAGGATTTTTTTATTAATAAGAAATTGAAAACTTACAATTTAAAAAATGCATCTATATCTTATGATCATCACATAGCATTTTCCACCCTGATGCAATTCTCTGTGGATCCTAAATGCTTTGCCTATGCCTTTCAAAATTTCTGCTTCCAATGCCTGCTATAATCCTACGTTTGCGATTTCTAGATTTGTTGTTCGTGTGTCACTAAATTCTAAAAAGTCTGCACATCAGCTGTGTAACTGGCCTTTACCATATAATTTCATATTTCTTCTGAATATTCTTACTATAAAGAAATAAAATTGACCGCTTTGTCTGTACATTCTAATGCATTTAGTGTTTTTAGAATACGAATCCTATTAAATCAAAAAATTGTAAATGAAAGGAAACTTGTTGAAGAAACTGAATCATAAGAAATTATTCTTCAAAGATATTGCGTTACATTATTATGTAAATTAACCATTGCTTATGATTTCAACCTGTACTATAATTCCCCTTTCTACGTCCTCATATGATAGTTATTGAGCCAGATTAAATAAAATTAAATTGTATAATCTTGCCACTAGTTCACATTATTAGTTTGAATTTGACTGTCTTGCTTAATTATCACATGAGGTGTAATTTATTTTGTTAGCATCCGAACTGCCTTAGTTCTAAGCTCTTTTAAATCAGAGGTTCATTTAAAACCTTTTTCTAATATTATGGTCGTAATTTAATAGCAAATTTTCACGCCTCGATAATTGCTTACGATCATTACCCTCTGTTATGTGGGAGGTTCGGGAACGAGTAGTGCGCATTATTTATGAGACTTTAATTTTATTTAGATAAAAACATATAATGCTAAAACTTAAGGCTAATAAAAACCATCACTTGTTACATTGTGGAAAACATAAATTTCTGTAGCTTTTAATGCCAATTATCTTTAATATTATCGTTTAAGAAACTTTAAACTCTACTGTAAACTTTGAAATTTTAATAGATTTTGATTTAAAGGGCTTTTTTAACAAATAGTTAAAAAATAAAATTTAAAGTGGTCCTGCAAAAAGTTTATATCAAACTACTATTTAATTATTTTAACTAACTGCTTACCCTTAAAATTACTTCTACATATAAAAGCAAGTTTATTGCCTTCATTATACTCACTGTGGTCACACGATAAATGATAAAAATGTCAATCCAAAAGGGTAAAAAACCAAAAATATTCATATGCATTTCCTTGACTTATAATAAAACAACTTATCACCTCTGTGCTTTAATGGCGTCTTGTAACCTTAAGTAATATTAACGGGGTTTATAACCCCTGGAACTGTACACGAAGCACGACACTACTGCATAAACAGAACCTGACTACTTTCAAACTGCCAACCTTTCAACATCGGCCTTCAGGCATTCTAATCACAGTCTCTCTCTAGACAGCAGCAGCGTGACAACATTAGTCGTTTTGGTTATGATAAATGCTGATTATGATCTTACTCTCTTTAACCTATGCAGTTTGACATAACATCTACGCTATTTACTAAACCTCTAGACTGACCAGTAGTGACAAAATGAGACGTAACAAAATCACATACACTAATTTTAGTAAAATGGTAATGTCACTTATCTTCTTCAAAGAGGACCAACCCTTATAAGGTAAAATATTTAATGCTACTTCATAAATTGCATAAGGTTATTTATTCTCAACTTATTAACAATTATGTTAATTAATCTGTTTTAGCAATAAGCGACTACTTAGGATCTATTTATTTTTAGGATGGTATTTGCAAAAGGAAATATCGGCATGATAGCTCAATTGAATTTATTCATTTCCTATTGCTCATAGATCCTTATTTTTTTTTTTCGTTATTTCCTTAAAAGCTTAATTTCCGTGTGCAAAAGGTCGTCCTGAATCACTCAACACAGAACCAGTCGCATATATTTAGCAATGTTTAGTTTCTTAAAGACCCTCATTTTTCAAAAAATCTTCCCAGATTTTTTTTAGTTTTTTGGGCTGTATGCAATCTTCTTATGCTAATATTATTTTTAGAATTTTTTCCCTTAAATCTGTCTAAAATCAAACTGCGAACCCTAGGTGTGTCCAGACGGTCCGCACGCGCTAATCTAGGACTCTGAGAGTCTGTATTCTTTGTTTCCTTTCTTGTTTCTTTTCTTCGCAGCTCATCGTGTTTGACATAATGTTTGTTTCAGCAGCACTTTTTTGAAGCTCTATTCATCAGTGTGCCCACTTTGGGCACATCCACAGAATTAAAACGATAAAGTGCTATCGTTCACAAAAATGTTACTTGTGTCTCCTCTAAGCCTAATTAGACTGCCTACCTTTTTTTTTTTTTTTTTTTTTTTAAATCAAAACTCTGACTTTAAAAGGTATGTGCCAGAAAGGGTTAAGGTCACCGATGCAATATTTTTTTTTTTTTATTTCCCATCCACTCATCATTCAGCTTCTTGTGCATTTTTGCAGTAAAAGAAAAGCATAATAATAACTTTTGTATAATCTTTTTAAATCAAACATATACACATAGGATTTTAGGTTCCTCAGGTGTTATATCTGTTCATACTATTCCCCACATTTGAGATCTCTGGGTATTTACACAAATATGCAAATACTGCTCATTTTTACAGTCATTATGTTGTGTTTTTTTATTATGGTCAAAGTGTTGTCTGGGCAAGGATCGTTATTGACGTGGTATAGCAAGGGTGTCATGTAAAGAATACTTTTAGAAAACAAGTAAACATCATTCTCGAGGGGTTTGTGGTTCAGCTGCAGTATATGGTCCGGGTATAAATTAAGTGGGGTTGTGGGTATTAGTACAAGCAAAAAACTTAATGGGAAAGAAGGGTCTGTTTGGGACTTTTCTATAGGAAGGGAGAATTATGTATTTCCATACAAGTGAAAAAAGTTAACTGATAATATTCTGTCAATAGTTGGGGAAAATGTGAGTTTTTGATCACTAGTGGCGAACTTTTTGATGTTCCAAAACAGCGCTGCATCACCAAATATAATAGCTGTGCATATTTTCAATTTCCTGTTTACATTGCTGTAGACAATTTTTATATGCATTTCTAAATGAACAAATATGAATGTGTGTGTTGCTGTTTTAAATAATTTTGATATTCTTTCGTAAATACATACTGTTTTCCAATGAAGTTGTGATCTGCACATTAAAAATATTGTTGCTTCTACACCCTTGGAAAGAAAGCTATAAAAATATTAACACTTAAATTCTTATAGATTTAAAAAAAAAAATGCAGTACAAAATCTAGAATCTGGACGTTCAATATCCCAAAAGATCTAACATCTGCACAACAAGACACCCCTCTTTTTTAAGTATGCTTTACGCATATGTGGAGAGTTCCAATTCTTAATTTTACTTGGGTCCTAAATAAAATATCTCCACACTGAAGAGAATCATTTACTAGCATAAACCCGTATCAATGATTTAGCTCCATAGCTGCCTTTTTTATTTGCATCTCAAACTAAACGTCATTGATTTTACACCTACTGATAATTTATATTCCTTACACCAATCTGCCAAATTGTTATTTATTATTTTTTGCTTTCAACACCCCATGACTGTGGACACACAGCAGCTTGAGAAATAACTCTTACAGAGAATATTAGTAATTGAATACCAAACAGCATGTAACCTTTTATGTTGATATTATGCTTGGTGAGGATTACAGATTTCAGCTAACTGTGCTATGAAATGTTCAGAAATTTAACAATTTTTTTTTTTTTTTTTTTCCCATACGCTAAAAACAGATTTTTCAAGTGATATTCATAGGCCAATTGATTCTATACAATGCTGTTTAAATTAAAAATAATTGATTTGTTATTCAGATAAGCATCAGAGCTGGTGCAAACAGGCAGCACAATTTAGAGAAGCGCCGAGCAACAAAATTTAGGGATGATAAAATCTTTAGAATTTAGGGAAGGCACTGGGACACAAAATTTTTGAATTTAGGAAGGTGCTTAACAGCAGATTTGAGTATGAAGAAGCAAGGCAAAAATTAACAGAACAAAATGCCCTTAGTTGCCTATAGTGCTAAGCTTTATGATAATAGCCACAAATTTCATTTAGTTTTACATTTTGTTGATTTTTATATTTAATTTCTGTAATAAATATATTTTCAGCTAAAAAATGAAGCTCAGAATAAATGTGGAAAAAATAAATATTTTAAAAAGGAAAATCCACCTGAAATATTTGAGATTAGCCCACTTAAATTTGAATCTGTGAAAAATTTCACCCATTTGGGCTCCAAAATCAACTATGAAAATGATGTTAACCCTGAAATCAGAAAAAGGATTATTGCTGCAAATCATTGCTTCTTTGTTTTAAGACCTCTTCTAAAATCCCAAAAATTTCACCCATTTGGGCTCCAAAATCAACTATGAAAATGATGTTAACCCTGAAATCAGAAAAAAGATTATTGCTGCAAATCATTGCTTCTTTGTTTTAAGATCTCTTCTAAAATCCCATAAATAAAGAGAAGGAACAAAAATTCTATTATACAAGGTATTAATAAAATCAGTCTTAACCTATGCTTCATGGACATGGACTCTGACTATCAGCAAAGAGAGAGACTTGGCAATCTTTGAAAGGAAGATCCTAAGAACTATATTTGGTGCTGTTTTGGAGAATAATATATGGCATAAACGGTATAACTTTAAACTCTACAAATTTATAATGATGATATTATTAAATCCATAAGATTAAGTAGAATGGGATGGGCAGGTTACCTCCTAAGAATGAATGCAAACAGGTCTTAAATGTAACTCCTGTTTGTGGAAGATCAAGAGGAAAACCTAAAAAAATGAATAGACTGCCTGGTTGAGGATTTTGCTATTCTAACAATTTAGAACTGGAGGTCAATTGCTGGAAGGAGAGTGGAATGGGAAAGGCTTCTGAAGAAGGTCAGGGCCCACGAAGCACTGCCATGCTAATACTGATGATGATGATGAACAAATACATAGTGATGCAAAGTAAAATTTTATTCAGAATAAATATAAGGTCTACTGGAAATTTTTATCTGCACTTTCATTTCATCCTGACCATTGCATTTGTACACATGTACTTTTCTAAATTAATTGAAACAAAAATGTCAAATGCCATTATCAAAGGAGGTATGATCGTCTAAACATGGCTATTGATTAAGTTTGTTTATGACTCTATAGTTTGTATGAATTCCAACAAGGAAGAAATCCTACAGAAGTATGTTGAAATTTAGTCACAGTTTTTGGTGGAGATGCAGTTTCAAAATGCTGGAGATGGTTAAAAAAATTTGAACCATATTCTAGCAGTCATCTTTAACTGATGATATTATCAAGACCATGATAGAGCAAAATCCTTTTTTGATAGCATCAGAGATTGTGAAAAAGCTTAATTCATCTCAACAAACCATATTCGGAAACTAAAATTAATTTATAAATACTTCAGATGTGTGCCTCATGAGTTAAGTAAGAAAAATTCACACAGCAAGTGAGCTTTTGAACCCTAAAGAGTGTATAGTGTTTTTTGTATCATGCTAAAATTATTAAATTATGATGCATCTTTCCACAGTAAAATGCGGAATTTATTGTATTTTGACCTAATTTTTCGTAAAACTGCTTATCTATAGAATACTAGCAGCTATTTTTTACGTACTTTTGGATGAGTAGATTCATATACACTTTTTTCATAAAAAATGAGAGTTCAGGAGATTTTGATTAATCTGTCTTTATTTCTAGTGTTACTAGTATTTCCCTGTGAGGAAATATTAGTTACACATACATATCCATAAAAGCCTTCTTATGGCCTTTACTTTCACAACTGTTGGTCACAGACATATTTCTAAGAGGAAATATTTTATGGTATTTTTTTAATCAAAAATTTGTAAAAGAGTATAGTTAAAGTACAGAAGTAATTTTAAATGTGTGTGAAAGTAGTTTAAATTTTACTTACCTGTCAATACGTTATCTGAGCTCTCAAGACTTTTTACATCATAGACAACATCTTTCAATTTTGAATCAGAAATTTTCAATATTTTCAATGAATTTTTTAACTAATAAAAATCAAAATTAAAGATTTCAGTCATTAAAATTACATTTTTAAATAGCATTAAAAATTGCATCATTGATAATATGAAATAAAAGTCTTACAATTTGTTAAGCTTTTATATATATTATAAGCAAGTCTTACAATTTGTAAAGCTTTTATAAAAAAAACTAAAAGTTTTCAGATTTCATATTACATCCAAAGAGGCTTTTTTTTTTTTTTTTTACATTTTGGGGTCTACCTCTATTTATTAAATGTCATGTTCTTTGCATTTAAACTATAAAATTAAATTCAACAGCAATATCACAAAATATTTAAAAGAGCATATCTTTAGAATTTCCGATACACAGTCTCGTGCACTGGAGATAATTTCCCCCCCCCCCCCTGAGCAGTGTTGCCATTGTGCACTTTGAAATCATCAAGTTTCTTAATCAAAAACTCATGAATGCTTTACAAAATATGAAATAGATAATAAAACAAATTCCAAATTTGGGCTTCAAGATGCCCACATTTGGGTGAAGACATACTTTATTCAAAATTTGATGGCTCTAGGTACCATTGTTTTATTACAATGCGAGAAACATGCATACATTTATGCAGATTCTTCATTCTTTAATTTCTTCAAATATAATGCAGGACTCTTTACATTTGGTGGCAACAATTTGAAAAGTGATACGCTGTTTATAGTGATTCGACGCAAAGTTGCAAAATAACAGAACTACTGTTGTAGAAGACTACTGTTGTAGAAAACAGTAGTCCTTCAGGGACACAGCCCCTTTGGACTAAAAATCTGAATGGTTTCAGATTTTAAATTACGTCCAAAGGGGCATTTTTTTAACATTTTGTGTGTTACCTTTATTTATTAAATATCATGTTCTTTGCTCTTAAACCATAAAATTCAGTTTAACAGCAATGTCGCAAAATAATTTTAAAATGAGTATATCTTTAGAATTTTCAATACACAGTTCCGCGCACACTGGAGATAAAAAGTTTTTTTTTACCCATACAGTGTTGCCGTTGCTTGCTTTTAAATCGTTGAGTTTGTTAATAAGAAATTCGTTAAGTTTTACAAAATAAGAAATTGATAATAAAACAAATTTCAAATTTGGGCTTTCAGATGCCCATATTCATAGAAGGATTACATCATTCAAAATTGGATGGCTCTAGATACTGTTGCTTTATCACAATGCGAGAAACATACATATATTTATGTAGGTTCTCCATTATTTAATTTCTTCAAATATAATGCAGGACTTTTGGTGGCAACAATTTGAAAAGTGATATGCCGTTTATAGTGATTCGACGCAAAATGAAAACAATAGTCCTTCAGGGATAAAGCCCCTTTGAACTAAAAATACCCAGAGGGGCATATATTTGATGATAAAAGAAACTTTTTTCAAATTGATTATTGCAAATCAAATCATTACTAAAGGCAGTTCCTTGTGATTGTAACAAAAGTATTTTCTGATGAACTTTATAAAAATTAATTCTGATCTGAGAGTGCATGATTGATCACTTTTCTTTGTAACTAAGTAAGCATTTTCTCATTAAGCACCATATTTTTTTTTTTTTTTCAATTACAAGGAAAATAAACTTTCTTCTATGGTTTACCTAACAATTAAATTTATAAAGATGTAATGTTATCTCAATGGATTAAAGCTATTTATTATTATTTGATGGTAATTAAAAAGAATACAATAACAAAGATAAGTAGCAATTTTGCTACATAACAGATAAATCTAAAACAAAGATTAAAAGGTTTTGATATAAAACTACTAATGACCTATGTTATTAATACATTAAGAATACACCAAGACTATTTTTTTCAGTACAGAAACCTTTTAGAAAGTACACAAATAGACTGTAATATGAGATGTTGAGTTTTGAGGTGTAAAATTAAAAAAAAAAAAAAAAAAAAAAAAAAAAAAAAAAAAAAAAAAAAAAAATCCATATTACAGTAGCACAGCTTCTATATTATAGTAATTACCATGTGCAACCATACTTTTTCCTTAACAAATAGGAAACCCCAAGATTTCCGTGGGGGGCGGGGGGGAACTTTTTCAAAGTTTGACTGACAAAGCGTTTCTCAGCCACATGGATTGTCAACATCCATAGAAAGTAATAATTCCTGTAGTTATACAGGATATGAGGGCAAGTCTCATACCTTAGATAGTTCAACTGCCACCATTGGCATAGCTAGGCAGATGCTGTGAAACAAGATTGACCCTCTTCTCTTATCTAATGATAGCTACTATTTGGAAACTTTTAGCGGATGGTAACAGTTTCCTAAGAATACAATTCTATACTGCAATGCAGACGGTTGTAAAAATCTAAGTTACAATTTAATATTATGCATAATTCATCAAATTGTCACCATTGGTTGAGCTTTAACTTTCTAGATGACTTTGAGATATTTGCTGTCTTGAGCAAATATTCAATCTAGCAGCTATCTCTTGCATGTTGCACTATCTATCCGACAGGGATTTTCACATTAAACTGATTGTCTATATGTAATTGTGGTCTCTCATCTTAAAGTCTGAAATCATTAGAGCAAAATTTCTGGAACTAATACCGTCTATTGATTATATTCTCCCTGAATATTGTGTTAATCTTGTACACTGCACTGAATGCATTGTACCCTAATGATCATTTGTTGTAAAAGATAAGCAAATTATATTTCTGCTTTATTTGACAACACAGAGAACAGAATCAAACCTTGGAGAAGTCTGCCTCACTTACTGTAGCTGTTTGTACTCTGCTGAGTTTGTTTCTGTTTTTAGCCTTTTTGGAACATTCCTTAGAAGCAGAAGCAATGTTCTAAAAAGAATCAGAAAGTTGCTAAAATATATATTTCATATTACACAACCCAATTACTGAAAACAATGTTACTATTGGCAGGACAGAGATACTAGAAATTAAGGACATTAAAAACTAGAATTTTTGCACTCAATTGAATAAATTGGTTTTATAGATGAATCAAATTTGAAAAGTAATCAGAAGGGTTATATATTAGCTAGAGCTTGCTAGCTAGTATCAAATATATGAAACATGTACTTTGAAGAACAATTTGTTCTATAGTTAAAAGTAATAAAATATGTTATACTACTGCTAATGGTAGCATGTAAATTTTTAAACTACTGAAATTATAAAAGTTTAATTTTCCTAGAGTAAATTATCAGATATGTGACATGCATGCTTTGAAGAACATAATTTGTTCTACATGGTATACAGAAAACAATGATAGGTTATTGTACTACTGTTAACAGTAGCATATAGATCTGCTGCAGCTTTTTTATTTTTCTAAATCGAGGCTAAGAAAAAAATGTCATGGCACAATCTTTTATTTAAGATGGCTCACTTTCCAACGATTTTCATGTCATGTTAAACATTCCAAAATGGTGGATTGCGAACAATGATTAAATTAAATTGCTGTGGCAAAGTGCTTGAAGTCTATCTGCCTTAAGAAGGATGTCTTTCTCAGAGACAATGAAGATTACAAAAGGAATACTTTTTTCATAAAACTTCTTAAGTTATTGGTATTTTTAAAAACCAGTTCCATAATAATCCCACAATGATGCTCACAAGATAAACATTTCATAAGGATCAAATTAATTACCATTATTTTTAGATCACCATTCATGCTTTATGGGCTACAATTAGAACTTATCCCTTTTATTTTTGCTAATATTTAAAATTTTTGCTATCATCAACAAATCAGTATTTTTAGATAAAGTTAACATATCAGAATTTATGATAAATTAAACCAGCTGAATGAAGCTATTTCTGCCATTTTACTGCTATTTATAAAATTACCCAAGGATGTAAGAGATGATTGTATTATTTATGCTTGTGAATAATTTAATAAAATTAAACACATTATCACAATATACATTTAGACAACACAGTCAGGTATGATTTTATATGAGTAACTAATGAACTAAATTGGGCAAAGAAAAGAATTTTTTTTTTCTTCTAATCTTACATTTATTTTCTAATGTGTATATTATGTTCATTGCATTATTTTATAACCATATTATGCTGATGTTTACCACTAAATTACTCTGTTATTGGTCAAAATAATTCTACTTTACATGTAAATTTCCTAATCAGCGAGTCCATGATTCTCATAAAAAATGAAAAGGATAATAAATTAGACTAAAAGTTTTATAATATATATATAAATAAAAAGAAAAACTTTAAGTAAATTTACCTGTAACAGAGATGCCATTTTTGGTACAACTTTTTTAAATTTGGGACCTATATTTAATACCTCAGAAGGAGATGAGGCTGATGTGTAGCTTTTTAAAGTATCATAATGATCTTTGAAATTATTTTGAGCACAAAACTGGAGCTCATCTATGCAATGATCGAGCTTTTCTTCCAATTTTATTATAGCATCATCTGAATCACTGAATAAATCCTACAAAAATAACAAATTATATATATGCAATTATTTTCACCATTCACATTAAACTGGCATACTATGAATAATACTTTGAGCCTCATGCTCAATGATAGTTAATAAAAATTAAAAATTCAGGAGTTATATTTAAATAATATACAATGATTTTACAAAGTTCGGAATCTGGACATCCAGTATCGCGAATGACCTACCATATGAACCACCAGCCAAAAATTAAATAAAATAATAATGGAAAAAATTGTCCCCTTATTAAATCTAGGAGTGCAGAATATAACATTCAACAAATAGAAGCAGGTGTGCCATAAATGCATTTCTCTTCATTTTTTCCTGCTTTTTATTTTCAAACACCAGCTGACTAGGTACTTGCACTGTAGCCAATAACAACATATTGATTGGCAATGTATTGATGATGGTCAGGATAATATGTTTGGCTCTTCAGTGGTTGTGATTATCAGGGCTAATGCTACACATTTGCAATCTCTGTGGATCCTAAATTCTGCTGCCTGGTACCCCCGTAAATTCTAAAAATTTTGCTGCCCCTAAATTCTGTGGCCCAAATCTCTATTTTTCACTGCTCAGCACTCCGATGAATTATAAAATTTTTGTTGGCCCCGAATTCTGGCACTGCTCCAGTTGGGGGAGGGATAGCATTATTTTATTCTAACATAAACAATAAGTGAAGTTGCAATGTTGCCTTGTCAACAAGTCATTTTACTGGATTTAAACTGATGATCTAAAATCTGGAAATTTCTGAAATCACCAAAGTCCTAACAATTCCGAATTTCGGAATTTATACTGTTGCACTTCTAAAAGCAAACATTAGTGTTAAAATTTACTGTATTATTCTCTAACACAATTCTTTTCTTATGAGACTGTCAAATATAAAGACAACAAACAAACAATTTCAATTTGAAATCAATCTAAAATATTTTATGCATTATATAAATAAAGAAGTTACACTTTCAACTTTTGCTATAACTATGAAACTTTGTTTAATAGAAAAAAGTAGTTAATTGTTTCTAAATCATTAATTTTAACATTTTTCAGTGTGGTGCAATTTATCAGGTGGCTTCATTCAACACTCTTTAAATGATTGATCACATTCCTAAACTATTTATTTTTTATTTTGTTTGCAATATAAGAAATCAATTTTAAAGCATTACTGAAAGAGTTTTGTTTTTGATGTCATAGCCATTTGTGGCATTTGTTTCAATACAATATTATATGGTTAATTTTAAATTTTGTAAAAACTTAACTGATTAAGCTTAGATTAAGTTGTTTTTAATAACTTCAATGAAGATGAGAAAAACAAAATGTAAATGCATTAAATTTAGAAACAGGATTAAAAGGTACACCTTGCACAGAAACACACACACACACAAAAAGGGTACAGTTCTATATCTCCCGTTCTACTGGACCGGTCGTCGAAATTTAATTTGCGTTTTACACATCTCGAAAGCATGATTTAGGATAGATATTAGATTTATATATAGCATTTTTCTAACAGGTATTTTGACATACATAAAAATCGAACTTTTCCTGAAATAACAGAATTTTTTCCCCATATTTAGATTCTATGACTCAATTCATGCCTAGATATTAAATTTTATAATTTTTGGTGAGAAATTTTTCTTGGTGCATTTTTTTTTTAGTTTGCACCAAAATTAAGTCACTTGGCAAAATTATTAATTTAAATGTTAATACCTGAAAAATCAGATTTTGTGTCAAAATACCTATGTTAGAACAATGCTATATATAAATCTAATATATATCCTAAATTGTGCTTTTGAGACATGGAAACTGCAAGTTAAATTTTGACAATCAGTAGAACCGGAGATAAGAACTGTCTCTTTTTTATTTGTGTGTGCAAGGTTTACTGAAAATACTATTGGTAGTCTTTTATGAAGCAAGTATGCAGAAAAATGCTATAAATAGTTAACAGCAAGAAGGTAGCTGATTTAATTTTTAAACACCTGAAAGGAATATGCATCATTTATCAGTAGAAAGGTTTTGCGTCCTGGCAAATTACACATGATATATATATATATATATATATATAAAAACATATGTTGCAAACCTCTTGCTTAACCCTCTGAGCAGCCAGGGTTTTCACTAAGAAAGCACATATTTGCCAAAACTACTATGAGAACAGATTATTATTATTCTTTTTTTTGATTTTAATGTAAAAACTCTCCTGGTATTTTATACCTGGATTTGTTTTCTTTTGATATATTTCCTTAATTTCTTTGACATATTTTAATATGCATGTATATACATTCTATACATACATATTTAATATACATTCTTACAGATATCACAAAAAATATTCTATGGTTAAGCAATACAATGAAATAAATACATCACCACGTCTTGAATAATAAAATTTTTTCTCAGTGAAATTAATAAACAATTATTTGATTTATAATGTCAGTTTGATTTATAATGATATATATTTTTACAATGTTTTAGAAAAATTAAGCACAATTTTATTTTGCTATATTATTGCTTGAGATTAATCAGTAATTTTATTAATTTAATTGAAATAATAATGTATCACATTTTTGCATCAGTACTTTTCTTTAATAGAATCTGAAAGCATTGAAAGTATAAATTGCTTATGGAAATCAACAATTCCACTATCCTTGTATTATTTATTTTTTATGGTGACAACAGAAGACCAAAATTTTCTGAAAGCACTGATAGTTATCTTAGAGAGAGGTCACCTTGATTTCATCATTGCAAGGATAGATAATGCTAAAAGTAAGCTAAATTTATGCTAAAAGTAAGGTACTTATTATGCATTATCACAACCACCTTAATACTAGAAGTAGCCAAATTTTCAGAATATGCCCAACTCTGGTAACCTGTACATAAATATTCTTCAGGCTATCATGTTCAAAATAGTCCTTCATTTACGCAACATAGCCATTTTCATGTGTATTCTTTTTGTTGTAATTAAAATTCTGTTTTAATAGAGAAATTGTGATATTTTTACCTTTTTAAATTATCATTTATTGAATTTGCAGTAATAAAAGAAAATGCATTAAAATTTCTACAGGAATACAGTATTTTGCCATAAAATTACTAAAGGGAACAATGACAAGTATGTTTGTGAGTTTGTGCAATTCTGTGATTTTTTTTAATGGTAAACAGATTGCTGCATACTTGGGGAGAAGAACAGCACCGAAACGTTAGCAAAGGATTCGAAAAAAAAAAAAAAAGGGGGGGGTTATTACTTTTAATCTATCATATAATCCTCATTTAATAATTAAAATCTCTATTTAAAAATTTTAAAGCATGTTTTCTTTTTGTATGTTGATAATGTTTGCTGTCTCATGATAATTATCAATAGTTTGAGAATGTTTAAAAAAAATTGGGAAAATCGGCAACTTGCACCTGATAAGGAGTTTTTACCTTTTCATCTGTAAAAAATCGACAGATTGTGCCACAATAGTTGCATAAATATGTAAGTACCAAAGTAAGAAATGACTTTGGTTGAAAGAGCTGATAAATGCTATCTATTTTAACAATAATTGAATTGTAATTTAATTAAATAATATACAGAGATATATGAAAGTTAAAGCAAGAATAAAAAGATTTTGAATATGGCCACAGCGTTACTATATTTAAAATATTTTATTGTTACGAGCTTCTGGTCTACAATTTTAAAAAATAAATTGCAGTTTAATCATGCATTAAAATTAATTAGTGTTACGTTAACAAGGAAGGGAATCAATAATAGTTTTGCTATGCTACTATCAACTCTTTGGAGGCTTGCTTTGATACATCAGTCCATGATACTATTTATTTAATGCAGATATGTTGAAAGTTAACTCTTGGATACCTTTGTGTGGATTATCATTCAATATCTGCAGCACTTGAAAGAACTTCATAGTTTTTCATCTACACATTGCAGCACATTCTGAGCCTGGAAACATATCTTTAACTGTCATTCTGATAGTATTACTTAGATAAGTAAAATTAAGTCCAAGAAATTGATTAGTTGCAAAGCTGTAAACTAGTACATAGGCATAATACTGCTCAGTTCATATACCTGGGAGGGGGTGTTGATCTCAAACACCAAGTTTTAGCTAAATACAAATGAAGAATTATATGCTTTCATTGTGATAATTCTGAAAAGGAAAACTTACATGTGAAAATAATAATAAACTTTCATTTAGCTAGCTTGTTTTAACAGAAATCAAAATTTTAATGAAACACCTGTTTTAAGCAGTTTTAACCATTTGATTGGCTCAGAAAGATTAAAATTAAAAATTAAGAAATTAATTTTCTCAAAATTAAAGAGCAAAAACTTACTTCACATTTCGGCATGGAAAGGCCTTTTGCCAACATTTCTCCACAGTCTTCACTATACTGTTCTTCCAGCCTCGTACTTCTGGAATGCTTTAGATTATGAATATCTAGGCTAAAGGAGAAATATTAGAATACTTAGAAAACTAAAATTTAAAGTTAGAAGTATGAAACACAATAAAAACAAATATTATACAGATTAAAACAAATTGAAGAATAAGTTACTTACTCATTTATGCATGTTTCTGAGCTCTGCTCAATTGATTTTTCAAGACTAAGTGGAAAAAGTTGTACTTTTTCATCAAACAAGATATTCAAATCTACAGAGTTACAAAGTTTGTTGATGTAGCTACATGTTTCTTCATAGGCTACAGAAATTTTTCTCCTAAAACATCACAAAAAATTTTAATATATGTTCAAATGGAATTTGTTAGCCAATAATGAATTACAGTAGTACCTCCCAATAAGGAACAACCATTGGCCCAGATATTTTGTCCCTTAAATAGAGATGTTCCTTCTACAGAGAGTACATACTAAAAAATGTAATTAAATTAGAAATTCAGGTTTTGTCAAACTTTAAATAAATGATAAATATGTAACATAGTCACAGGTGTTTATTCGAAATTAAAGTTAATGAAAGCCCATAATTAAAATAGTTTAAGTATTGCAAAAATGTACGAAATGAAGAATGGAGTTTTGGACTTAACAGAAATTCATTGAAAATAATCCATTACACTTATTTGTTTGAAATTCTATGCACTGCAAGCATTTTTTTCCGCATGGATTTTAAAATTCTTGGGCCAACCTTTGAAGATAGTTACAGTAACATGCTTTGTAATGACCCTCAGATATTGTGACATTCTAAACAGTTTCGTCTTACCTCAACAGTGACAATGCATTGGGTCTACCACTTTTATGCAGGATGGTGTCCCTCCACATAATGGACTCTGTGTACAGAGGTTTTTTATTTTTTTTGCAACATTTTACTAATGACAGGGTGATTAGCCGTTTATGCTTCACTCCTTGGCCGCCCATTCTTTCAGTCTCATTCCATGTGATTTTTGGCTATGGGACCATTTAAAAAATGTGGCTTATTAGGGGAATCTTGCAACTCTGACTGACTGAAAAGACCATATAACATTACATGTGTAAAAGATCACTGCGATCAGCTGTCGAACATACTGTTCTTTGTCTGCTTATTTTACATCTTAATGAGGGGGCTCGCACTGAACAGTATGCTTTACATTACCAAACGGTCTGTAAAAATTATGCTTGTATTGGAATTTGTAGCTTGTTTGTATTTCAATGTAATGTAGCTCCTTTAAAAATTTTTTAAAAAATACCAACTAATATTTTTCGGAATCTTTTAGTGCATTCTGTGAACTCCCAACCTAAAAATTTTTGAATCAATCTATATTTTAGCTACAGCTATACAGTCTCTTAAATAGGCCAAGTTTAATTACAATAACTTTGTATATTCACAGTTTTGTTCCTATATATCTACTAAGCATATTTCTCTGTGTGCTGTTTCTATAATTAGGATTTCTGATGTTCGAGATTCTTGGTTTCTCTAGTCAAATTGTTCCCAAATTCAGACGTATTGCTGGATAACCTGGGCCATGCATGATAATGAGGTTTACAGTAACAGGTAAAAATTTGAATTTCTAGTTAATTTTCTAGTTCTATTGTGCGGAATATTTTCTATATTTTAATTATGTCTCTAATGCACTGAAGATCATGAACAAGTGCATTTTCACGAAAGTAACATGGTCAAAAGTCCTTCAATATTTAGTTACAAAATGAATGACATTTGTTGGGCATTTGAATCTTATGAACAATCCCAAATTATGGATTACTGCTATAAATGCTTTTTCTTTTTACAACAAAAGTAAAATTCTAAAAAATGTTTCCTTTTCCATTAAAAGCATCAAATCTTATTTCATGTTGCTGTTTCAATATTTAATAGGCATTATAGTACATTCTTTTAGCTTAGATTAGTGTCTCAAACTCAAATTGCAAGCAGACTGGATGCACAACCTGAGACCTGCTGGCAGGCTAGTTTTTTTTTAACAAAATTTTAAATTAAATTTCAGATTACTATATAAATTTTAGCTTAATTTCAAATTTCACTTATTAATTTTTTATCAAAACATACATAAACAAATAATAAAAATAACATAAAGGAAAAAAATTAATTTATTATGCTTATTTTCTATCTGTTGCTTACATTTCACAGTTCAAATTTACTAGCAGCAAAATATTAAATTTTTGGATTGACATTTATTTCAAATAATTCTAATGTGATGAATTAACCACAAAATAATTTCCTTTTAACACAAAATAAATACTGACCAAATTTTTACAGAAAACTTCCCCAAAAGAACAAAATTTGAGAATAAATAATGACAGCCTATTGTCTTTCTTTTATATACTAAATTTTTTATTTACACATGCAGAAATAATACATATGGTTGTATGTAAATAATTATACATATCTCTACTTTTTACTACAGCTTGATACGTGATAATGTTTCTAGTCTTTCGTAGCCTTGGAGAAAAATTACTGAAAACTGCAGATGCTCATTGTTCAATCGGGCCCTTTTGTTACACTTGCTAATTTTCACTATGAAAAAATCAGTTCCCATATAAATATACTTCGGAACAAAGCAATTTTTCTTATTGCAAAAATTTGTAACCAAGGATATTTATCTTTTCATCAGTATGAATAAAAGTTAATCAGATCTGTATCTTTAAATCTTTGACTAAAATTTTACTCTGTAAATTAATTAGTTATATTTGTAGATTTTTCTAGTACATTATTCACATCCACTTTTAATGGTAATGAAAATAATTTAAAATCAGACTCCAAATCATTAAATTCTTTAAATCTGCCTTCAAATTCTTGTCAAAGACTATATTTCATGTGTACTCTTGGCATTTTTCATTTGGAATAACAGAGAGGGATTTAAAACAGAAAATGTGCAAATTTGTCTTATTTGAGGTGTGTTTCCCATATTTACAATTTAACTTTGAAAGCTTTAAAAGAAGCATACATGTCAGCGATAATTTATCAGTGACAAATCTGCTTCTGTTCAAGCAATCAAAGTTTATCATTGGCATCTATGCTTCTGTTTCCTTTCCTTGTAGCTCTTCATTAAAAATACTTAAATGACGGGTTATCAACAAGAAACGCTAAATTTGTTATACACGTATCATTAATCATGAACGTGTTTTTTAGTTTTATGCTATTTATGAAATTATGATTTCATTTAATTAATTAAAAATCATTTTAATATCACTCCTTAACTTAACCACCTAACCTCGTTATAATAAATCATTTCCCTGCACTCTCTTTCAGTGAAGTTATATAACAAATTCTTGATAATGATGAGCTCATCCACAGTTACAGTTTACTGTTTTAACTACTATTTCCAAAATATCCATTCAAAAACTTTTGGCACAGAATGCTTCTTGATGAATAATGCAAAAATTTTCTTCTTTTGTTATTATTTAAATTTTGTCACTACTCCATTTATTTTACCAACAGCAGCAGCCACACCACCATTTGCAAATCCAAACAATTTATTCCACTTCAATTTATATTTATCTATTACTCTGTGAGGTCAGCACTCTCATCAGCTGCTATTATCTATAACTTTTTCATTTAACTGTCATAAATCACTTGCAATTTTGTTATACATTCTGCTGCTGTTCTGGCTGACAAATTAATACTTTTAAATAATTATTGTTTGTTAAAATAAAGAAGTTCAGATATAATAAACAATCTTTAACAAATTCTTGTTCATTAAATTGTTTTGATCTTTTCGCAAAGATGTACACAGAAGCAAGACTTGGATGAACTGTTGCTTCATCTGAATTTATTTGCTTTTGCAGAAACATTTTGTTACTGTAATAAGCCAGATTTTTAACAGTAACTTTTGTTCCCTCAATTTATTTTCTGTTTCAGATTTTTTTTTAATGGTTTGTTTCATAATGGAAACTTAAGTTATATTTATTTTAGAACTGATATTACCTTATTACAAATAAAACATACGATTTTAATGCACACAATACCACGAAATAATGTAATTTCCCATTTATCTTCAAAAATACATCCTTTTCCAGTCATTTTTCTTTTACCCTTTGTTAAAGACACAGGTTCCAGATTAATCTCCTAATTAAAATCATAATTGTAATTTTGTTTGAAACTTTCATTCAATAAGATGAATTTTCATATGAAAGCAACACTGAAATGTACTGCACAATTTCAAATGATTTGCATTAATGTAATGTAGATCCAACACAAATGAAGAACAAATAACAAGTTTTACAAGGCATACCAATATGAATTATATAACTGTGCAGTCAAGTTAATAATTAGGGACTGACTCAAGGAAAGTAAAAATATCAGCTCATTGAGGGAAGGAGTAATTTTTTTTTTTTAATTGATTTTTCTTGTGTAGCGGATGCATGCTTTTATGTTTCTTGTACATTTTTTTAAATACTTATTTTTAAACAAAATTGGATTTAGGAAATTGTTGTAACTGGTGGGAGAAACCCATGTTTGTTGATGGATGAATCATGTAAAACATTTGTTTTGTTTAAATTTAGCATACACACTTTAATAGATTATGGATAATATTTATAAACCAGTATAAGCAGAAGGAGCTAATACAGCATCTCTTACAGTTTTGCTTGAATTATATAGGAAAGATTCAAAACAGTGCAGATGTTAAATAAAATATTTTGCAAGAATATAATTAAAATTTGGATGTAAAAAACATTAGAAAAATTCTAACTTATAAAAAATAGACAAAATTTAAACACAGAATTTCGCTAAAAACACAAATGTAATAAAACATATTCAATAATCATGTCAAATTAAGATAGCTAAATATGTATTATTATTAGGAGATAGGGTTATACTGGGCAGTTTAATTTACATAAAGCACACAACATTCTAGGAAAATGAAATCTGCGTTGTTCTCTTCTTGAATGCTCTTCATTTCACAGCACAGAGACAAATATCTGCGTACTATCTGGAATTCAAACCTCAAGTCACGTCAGCCACTGCTGAACCACTGTGTAGAGACATTAGGTAATTTTTGAAAGCAGAAGAGATGAAAAATTGGCAACGCCTTCGCCGGGAATCGAACCACGGATCTCTGAAATACTAGCTCAGTGTGCTGACCACTACACCACGCTAGGAAGGCAGGAGAAATACCTTACAACTGTATCATTAGGTATGTTTTATGAAATAAGAAAAATGTATTGATAAAAAAAATTAAACATATGGGTTTTGGGATTAGCAGAGGATTTTCAATACCAACAAATTCTTGATCACATATATAATGGAAATATGAATTACCTTCCTGAAGTGTAACTTTCATCACTTTTGAGTGAGCTAGATAAAATTGTAGATTTCATCCAAAGAATATCAATAATTCTCTCCCAAAAATTCATTTGCTGGCTAAATGGAGCTGTACCCTAGATGAAAATTTAATAAAAGATTTTTTGTAAATCATATCATTACTAAACACCTAAGAAGGCATACAAATTAATAAGAAGGGAGAAACTTACTTTAATGACACCATCATCATTCTTTTCACAGATGCCTAAATTGGACAAAGTAAGATGCAAATCTAACAAAAAGATAATAAAATGGTAAATAATTGTTCAAATAAAAAGTTCATATTCAGCTAATTTTTTGAGATACAATTTAGTATTTAATTTTCATGGTATAAAATGACCTTTTTATAGAATGGAAAAGGCTTATCAAAAATGCTAATGCAATAAGAATCAGCATAATATTCACAAATTTGCAGTGATTATTGTTGCCCTAGAATCTCCAATAATTGTTATTCACCATGTTATAGTTCGACTGCCTCATCTGTGACCATGAGCGCAAACACGCATGCGCCATTCGGACCGAATTATTCTCAAAATAAGGTGGAAGGATGGGACTTTCTTTTCCTTCCAGCATTAGCTCTTTCCGGCGAAGAGAAGACCTTTCACATCCATCGCAGCAAGTAATACCACTCCTTCTGGACGAGTCTATGTGTTTTGGCAGAATACCAACCAGGGTTGTGCTTGAGGCGGTCGAACTATATTTTAACTCAATGGGAACGGCTTGTTCAATACTTTTCATCTCACTGAAATTTCAACACTTGCATATAATTCCATCCTTAGAAGTATTTGAGCCATGAATTGTATTGAAAATTTTTAATAGGGATAGGACAACAAATATATTTGCTTTCTGATATGCTATATTACAGAAATGCAGAATATAATCACAAATGATTTTAAAGAGAAAAACATTAATGACAGATTAAATCAAACAGACTCTCTTTTCACTGTTAGAAATGTAGCATTGTCATTGTTCATCCAATTTCAGATAGATTACACAAAGAGCATTTTTTAAATTGTTACTCCAGGACGCTATTTTATGTTGTTGACATGCCCTCCCCCCACAAAAAATGAATTTTTTTGGCAATTATACAGTCAGTGGTGCAAAATATCATTTGATAGCACCAGCATTTCCAGAAATGAATTTTCCAGATTTTTTTTTCCCCAATAAAGCTGTTAGCCCATGATAAATGCCTTGCATACTAGCAGCCCCATCTGTACAATCAGCGATACATTGTAAAATAGATAAATTGCTGCATTATATTTTGCTAATTATTAAATTATGTAAATTTAAACCTGTTGAATCAGGGAAAAATTAATCTTTCATAAACATTTCCTTGAAATACATATTTCATAATTACTGAACACTAATTTGCGGTAGAAACATCTTGAGTTGTAACTTTTACACAGTACATTACAGCTTCACAAATTTCATCAGAAATTCTAGCTTTTTTTTAATAAGAGTTACATAATTTATAATCATTTTTTATAAAAAAAAATTCCCCCGTTCGAATTTTATACTCTTTTTGTGCAGTTGTTTGCTTTGCAGAATTATTTAATTTAAACAGCATTCTAGGATAGAACAGTTTGTGCCTTAAGGCTTGACAACTGTTTTACAAGATTCAGAAAATGTCCTGTTTTGCTTGAGCCTCTAATAATATAACTATCTTCTAAACCCTCAATACTTTTTCTTTTTTTTTCCTTTCTCTTCCAGAAATCTTTCCCAGAGATGAAGGAAATATTGCATTATTTCATTCTGGTATACTTTTTCCCAAGTTTTTTTTTTTTACTTAAAACCATTTAAGGATGAAATTAAGATTTTAAATTACTACATTAATGAGATTTTTATTGAATTGATACAAGCTGAATGAAATAATATGATATAAATTTATAAAAATCTGAATTAAATATGGTAAAACTAATGCAATATTTTAATACTTACATTTTAACTTTTCCTCATCAGAAATGTGACAAGACTCAGGAACAGGATACTTTAACCTAAAATATGAAAAACAAATTATATATAAATAAAGCTAAGTAATAATACTAAACACAAAACATGAAATAAAATAACTTGAGATCAGATTATTTCAGAATGTCATGCAACTAACAACCTTTACCAAATTAAACCAATTGACAGGAATAATAAACCATCAGCTCATGTAGCATTTCAGCGCAAAAATGAGAACTGTGTTCAACTTTGGCATAGACGTCTTGGTCACAGAAACAATGATGCAATCAAACAATTTGTAAACAAAGAACTTGATGAAGGAATTAAACTCGATAATTGTAAACGTGATACCTAATGCATTCAGTGCATAAAATACAAACTAACTGATTTCCTGTATCCCAGAGAATCGAAATTCGGAGCATCTGAACCGCTCAAACTCATTCACACTGATGTTTTACGACCAGTACAAACACAGTCTGTCAGTGGATACCTATACTTCGTAACTTTTATTGATGATCACAGCAGGTTCACAATGATTTACCTATTGAAAAAAGAAAACTGAAGTAATTTCTAAACTAAAACAATTTATTGCTCTTACAAACAATAAATTCAGGAGAAAAAAATGCTAAGAAGTGATAACAGTGGTGAATACATAAGTAAGGAACCTGGAGAATATCTCATAAAACATGGTATAAATCACCAGCTTACTGTACTGTCCAGCACAAAATGGAGTCAGTGAACGCAAAAATAGATCTTTGATAGAGATGACAAGATGTCTTTTAGCTGACTCAGGTCAACCTCACAGAAAATGGGCAGAAGCAGTGCTGACTGCAAATTACTTACAGAATCGTATGCCTACAAAACCAAATGCAAACATGCCATATGAATTATGGAATAACAAGAAACCCAATCTCTCTCATCTGAGGACTTTCGGGTGCAAGGCTTTTGCTTACATTCAGAAATCTAAAAGAGGTAAACTAGATGATACTACTATAGAAGTAATACTCGTCGGCTACGACAGCTGAAATAACGGCTACGGAATTTTAATTCCTGGACAGAAAATCATCATAAGTCAATCTGTACGTTTTATTGAAGACACTGGAACTAATGAGCCTGTAAGTGTCTCTTTAAACCAGAATGAAGAAAACCCTATGGAAGAAAGCTCAGAACAGGAAGAAATAAAAATAGAAGAACCCAAAAAGAAAGAAATATCAGAACCGGAAGAAGAACCTTTGAAACTCAGAAGATCGAACAGAGTCACAAAAGGTAAACCTCCTGATCGCTACGGATTCCACGCAAAATATCCAATCTCCCCAGAACCTAAATTCTCGAAGGAAATTCAAACTCTGGAAGAACATGAAAAACGAAATTGGGTGACTGCTATTCGAGAAGAAATTAATTCACTAGAAGAAAATAATACTTGGGAATTAGGTGATTTACCAAAAGGAAGAAAACCAATAGGACATAAATGGTCTTTTATGACCAAGCTCAATGCAGAAGGAAAAACTGAAAGATAAAAAGCCAGATTAGTTGCAAATGGATTTAGCGAGAAGTTTGGATATGACTTTAATAAATCTTTGCTGCTGTAATAAAATAGGGTAGAGTAGACTTTAACGTACCCCTTGTATTATGGCGAAGTTGTTGTTTCATTTATGGTAGCCTGAGTAGTTTAATGTTATGGAAACCCTATTGTGACGTAATTGGGTACATGATTCTGGGAAATTTTGAATCATGGGATGTTTTGTAAGCATTTTTATGGTGTGTGTTGGTTTGATTCTTTAGACTGTGGAATGGCTGAATGTAGTAAGATTAATTTGAAGTTTCTCTACTACTTGGAGCAAAAGAGGAAAAACAGCTTTAATTGACTGGTGTGTAAATGAAGGTTTACTTAGTAGCCATTATAAGTGTCCTGTATGTAGGAAGGATATGCGTCTAGTCGAATGTAAAAACCGTTTAGATGGATTTGAATGGGTTTGTAAGAAGAAAAGTTCAGTTGGTCACTATGTGAAGCGTTCGATCAGAAAGAGTAACTGGTTTGAAAAAAGTCATTTCAGTATGATTGATATTTTGATTTTTATGTGGCTCTGGGTGTACGAAGTGAACTCGAAAATCATGGTAAGTGAATACTTGCTTTTGGTAGTGCTTAAATGTATAACATGTTTTTCCTTTTTTATGTTACTTTATTGTTTGGTTTAAAATGTATTTTATTGAGATTATGTATTTTTTGTTTGCCTATATTGTAGAATTTGGCGCTCCTTTGACTTTTTAAGTGAAAATATATCGATGTGCACATGGACAAAGTAAAGGGAGTGCACAATGCAAGTTTGTGCAATTCTGGGATTTTTTTTAAGTGAAAATAGATCTAGTGTACATGGATAAAGTTAAAAGAGTGCACAATGCCATTTTTGTGCAATTCGAGGATTTTTTTAAAGTGAAAATAGGTCGACGTGGACATGGATAAAGTCAAAGAAGTGCGCAATGCCATTTTTGTGCAATTCGGGGTTTTTTTTTACAAATATCGCCGCTTCGCAAGCCAAAATAACGAGTCAAAGAATTGTACAAAATCGGTATCCATGTACCGCCAATAACTGCCGAGTTTCGCCAAGGGATACCCTAAACTATACTTTTACCGTAAAATATACAACTCTTCGAGCTTTCCTATGTGTAGCTTCGTATAAAAACATGTCTGTCAGACATATCGATGTCAAAACAGCTTCCTTCATGGAGAACTAGAAGAAGAAATTTGCCTGACTCAACCTGAAGACTACTGAAAAGCTGGAAATGAAAATAAAGTTTGCAAGCTGAAGAAATCTATATATGGTTTAAAAAGGTGCTAGAGCTTGGAATCTGAAAACTGGAAAAATACTTCTAAACATATCATTTAAACAAAGTAAAGCAGACCTATGCTAGTTTTTCAAAAGCATCAATGGAAAATTCACATATATAATATTACCGTCTTTTTCTGAAAATAAGACATTCTCCGAAAATAAGCCCTATCATGATTTTCGGAACTTTTTGTAAAATAAGACATCCTCCGAAAATAAGCCCTATCGTGATTTTCAGAACTTTTTGTAAAATAAGACATCCCCCGAAAATAAGCCCTAGTTAAAATAATGTGACCAAAAAGAATTCGTTAAAAAATGCTGTTGATTTATTAAGAAATAATATGTTTAGCTTTCCTAATACTCATATTTCAGAGAAATGTTTGAAACGAAATATTCCGAAAAATTAATTGTTTACCTCTACAGTTCGTTTCAAATTAATTCTTGGAATTTATCTTAACCAGTTCACCGTTTGCCCCGAGAGAGATACGTTCACAGGAAAGGCATCGTCATCCGTTAGCGTCATCGGCAGACTCTCGTCGGGGTGAAATTTGGGCTGAACCGTAACCCCCGAGACACATACGACGCAGCGACCTTTTTCCAACCCCCACAGAATGAGTCGAAAATCAAAAGGGGTGATTGATGGGTTACTTATCTTCTCAGCGGTGTCGCATTAGGATCACAGCGGGGCTGTTTCAGGAAAGTAAAGGATGGGGACACTTTCTTCGAATAGCTACCCCTCAACATATCTTATGAGATCCACAACAGCTTTCTCCCTTTCTATTAACGAACAAAGGGATTTGAATGCTATCTTTTCAATTCTTAACGATTCAATTCTTCTCTTTTGTTACAGGCCATCAAGAAAATAATAAAACAAAATTCAAGGACATTTCAAATACTAGCTAATGCCCTTATTTTTACTTTATATAAAGCTTTTTCTTGACAATTAAAAATTACATTTACATTGTAATAGATTGCAATAGATTTGGGGTTGGGTGCAAAGGGAAAAATATCTGCTCTAAGGACTACACCAGTCTTTGTGTTTTATGTTGCCCCTTAGGGGGTCGTTATTCACCATCCTTCAGTGTGACAGGTACGCTGTTCAATCTGATTTGAACAGAACTTCTAAATAGGCTTTCACAGGTGGTGAAAGGGGGAAAGAAATACTCTGAGCCCAGTTTTAGACACAAAAAGTTTACCTTTGGATGCGAAAAATGGCACGAAATGTTTGCGATTTTCCTAACGGCGAACTGGTTAAAAATACAACATAAGGCAGCAGTCTACATTGAGCGACAGTGCAGGTATACAACGTTCATTCATTTCAGTCTTGTAAGTCTGATTATTTCCTCATACGTAATTTTATTTAAAAATAAAGTGAATAATTTTTAACCCAGTTAAAATGAGTACAAAACGAAAGAGCTATTCCGTCGAGTACAAAAAGGGAATCGTGGAAGACTCCAGGGGTGTAAATCTTGTAGCATTCTGTAAAGAGAAGATGCTGGATCTCCGTATGGTTCGTAAATGGCGTGCAGACTACGATTACCTGTGTCAACTGGTGGACCAAGGAAATGAGAAAAAACGCAGAGTTGGATCAGGTCGGCAGCCGTTATTTTCTGAGTTGGAAGATTGCATCTGGGAATGGATTGCAGGCAGGAGAGCAATGGCTTTGGTTGTGCGCAGGGCTGATATTCAAAAATTTGCCCTTGAAACAGCAATTGAATTTGAATTTGATATATCCACAGAAGAATTTAAAGCATCGTCACACTGGTTGGACAACTTCCTTAAACGATATGAACTGTCTCTAAGGAGATCAACAACATTGTTTAAGCTGGAAGACAATGAAGTTGTTAAGCGTGCACTTGCGTTTAAGCTTTTTGTTGATGGCATCGATTTTTCGAAATACCAACTCTCCAACATGATTGCTATGGATGAGACCGCGGTATTCCTAGGCCAAGGAGCTCAAACGACAGTTCACCACAAGGCTTCTTCGTCAATTTACGTTCCTTCTACCGGTTACGATAGTGCACGTGTTACCTGTATTTTGGCGATTCGTCTAGATGGCAAGAAAGTATCGCCATTTTTAATCACTAAAGGTAAAAAAGACCAGATTCAACGTGTTTCAGGAATTTATGTCATTGAAAGTGAAAAAGCCTGGTGCACCCAAGCAGTTATAAGAAAGTGGGTTGATTTTATGCTGCCACCACTGTTGAGGGGTCAGAATAGAG